GATTAAATATTCTGTTCAAAACTGAATGCAATTGTCAGCAGGATACTCAATCGGCCGGACGCCGGCCGATAAATCTGAGCAAATGTGACCAGGTGTGAAAGAAATGATGGTCCCCCAGGGATTATGGTCCCCTTTCTTAACGGCCCTTATTGGCCCATATTGCGTATAAGATAATGAGGGAAAGAGTTTAGGTCACCATATAAATCAATGGAGAGTAGGACCATAATTGATAGAACCTCCTACCCGTTTACACCAGGCATTAATGTTTTTATCCATCCTTGTATAGATATGCTTTCGTTGTTAATATTGATTCACTATTTTATAAATGCCTCGCATCTTATGAACTGTAGCTAGTTTTGAATAGATAAACCCTGGTAAGTTCTTAAAATGCTGCAATTTCAATTAGGGGCAATTCTTCATATATCTTTTGGACATAAGTTTCAGCCAGTCTAAGATTTCCCTTTTCAATAATATGTATTATAATAGCCCCGCTTGGAATTTTAATCCTATTTCTGCAGCAACGCTAACTATACTTTATCTGTAAAATGCCTGTATTTCATATTTATATGATTGTTCCATTGTTTCAGATGGAATTATGATAACAATTTCCATTTGCTTGAAAAAGATTTATTAAATAAGAAATATTGCAGACCAAAACATTTTGATACATATTTATATGATGAAAATGTTTAACAAACATAAATGGCCGTCAATAAACTAGAAAAATAAAATAAATGAATAATCTAAGTAGTCCTGAATGGCTTATCACCACTTTCAAGTTATTTATTCCGTGGCACTGGATTTGTTAATTATACTACGGATCGTAACTGATTATTTCGGTGATAACATGTCGAATGTCTTTAACTGGTAAATAGGGATATTACGACCTGCCCAGTTCATGTACAACTAACTTACCGCAAGTTAGTCGACAAGTGAAATGGTTCCAATAAGCGATGTTTCAAAAATATATGATTTTCTATCGTTTTACGTTTTGGCGAATATGAACTAAAGAGGTTACTTCGCTAGAGCTTTTGAATTCTTCTATTAATTGGTAAAATACTTGTTTTCTCTTCAAAGTACAGTCAATCGTATATTACATATGAATTATAAATATATACAATCAAAATCAAAACGTTAACGAACATGTATTCCAAGAACCCAATTTTCTTCAACTTATGATATTACAAGCAACACTATAATCTTACAATTGCCGAACAGCACCCATCTGGACATCCTTTTCTTCATTTGATACATATTTTATAATGTAATTTACATTTTGATTGTGAAAATTCTCCCGGCGCAACGTCTGCCGGTGATCGGTTGGCAGTTGAAAAATACCGTAATCGGTAGGCACCCATAAGGTGAATCTGAACTTATGTGAGCAAAGCATAAACGATAAATCATGATCATAAATCATGATACGCAGGTAAACCGAGAATGCGAGATAAAGGTACGTTTTAATAAATCCGTAACCCAATATTTTGTAGCTCCCAGTGTGAATAACGTAATGCGTTAATTTCAGTCAAAATCAAATAATTCGATGGAACAGCATTTCCCTCTATAAACTTATCATCGGTTCAAAACCATAACATAATTGGTCAAACCTCAGGAATTCCCGGGGATCTCAGCCCCCCTATACTTTAACATGGAAAAATTGATGAATGGGGAAAAAAATATTTCTGATCAGTTAAACAAATATGTGTCCACATTATGTAAGACTTTAGATAATTAAAGACCTAGAAACAAAATATTTTGTTTCTATAATTATATAAAGGGCATTATATTTAACCACAAAGAAAGGGTTAAACCTGAAAAACGAGTTCATCGATTCGCCAAAAAGGTTGTAGAAAAATCCATTTTGATGATTCAGAAATAATATTTTAGAATATGAAAATTCACCTCATCTCCTAAATTGTGTTACAATTTTATATTGATCATCGAAATAATAAAAAACTTATACCCATCTAAAAAGCTCTCTCTATCGAGCCTCTTCCTTTTCCTGATACATTAATCAATAATTCGTATTTGTTGGGACATTTGTTCATTAATTTGGACATCAATAATTTATCTATTTCTTTAATTACTTTATTCTCTATAATAATCTTATATTTTTTAATCAAATAGCAAGCATTTAAGTATTAAAGGAGCATTTATTGGCCCTTAGTTCTGATGTCGTTAATATATTTCAACAAGGCATTAACATGCGAAATGTCACTACATGCCATTTGTTAAAGATGCCAAGCACCAAACACCGAATGCTGACCACCAACCAATGACAGCCAAACACTGTCCACAAAAAAAGTTGAAGACTACAAAAATGTCACCATCTGTGGTGGTGACATAATAATTAAAAAACAACAATTTCTGATGATACTACTTCAATTACAAGTAGATTCGACTGTTTGATTTCTTAAGGTAGTTCTACTATCAAAACTTAAAATTCTACTTGACCTTCCTTAAGCTATTGTGACAGCCTTCAATCAGTTCTTTTCTTGAGAAGTGTCACTTTAAATACTATATATATTTCTGTGTAAATTCATATATATGTTTATATATATTCACCTATGCTCAAGTACAAAACAGGGCAAGAAATTGAAATATCCAAGAGCACAACCAACCAGTCATAAGGAAAACACAAATATCCAAAATCAATCCAAACCCTTCGTGAACAAAATTTATTGTTTGATACTCAACTTATTTCTAGTAAGACAGAACAGGTCAAATATTTAATTTATGAAAATGAACTTACTATTGATTCTCAGAAAATTCTGATAATAAGTGATGCAATTTGTACAGGCCTGTTACAAGTTTCCATTAAATTAATATAATTCTCATTTGCATCTTGTGACAACCCCCCCCCCTCCCTCTCAACCTCTCACAATACCAATAACCATCTATGATTACTGTAATTAATCCTCTATTTGTAATTTAAACTACCTAGAATGCCTATGGCGATTGGAAGTAGATATCTTGTGTATTTTTTGATTATGAAGGAAATAAATAATATGTTGAAAAAAAATCCAAACCCTGAATATTCGAAAAACAAAAGCTAACTTACAAACAGAAAGATGTGATGAATATGAGAATAACTTGAACACATTGTGGTGTTTTCAACTAGAGTAGATTATTCTTCCATTAACACCAATTTGAATCTAATTAGAATATAAAGTGCAGCATAACAAAAAAGGTCAGAATGACTTGGTTAATTATGAATATTGGAATGTTTTTGTTTGTGTAATTCAATCCTACAACAGCGCTACATGATACTGGTTAGGATTGGGACAAAACATAAACACTTCAGAATAGAATGGTATACAGATTTCAGTAAAGAATTTTTTAGAACAGAACAGACTCAGATATAGCAGAACAATAATCATAACGCTAACATTAACAACTTACATATTTTACTATTACTGCATAAAGGCACACATATATAATAACCTGATTGTTAAGTGATTGAGTAAAATGTTGTAGTTTTTATTCATTCTGAACTAAATAAGCCAAAGTTTCTAAACCACTCAATGGGGCTCCGGGGCTCTCACCAGGAATTATTTAGGGTGTGGTGCTAACATCTTCAGAATAATCGTTCAATCATGATAAATCATATTTATGTTATGTTTTATCCTTTTTACATGCTATTATTATATATTCAGTCAAGTTTAGACTGTGGAAACAGTCATGATTTGCCAATAGGGTGTGGAGGGAGCTAAATAGAGTGGTGCTGCGCCACAGTCTAAAAGCCTGGCGAGAGCCCTGGGCTCAACATCCTCAAGTTGGAAAGACAATTTTCTTGATAATTCTGGTCCTTCTGTCATGTTAATGAAACCACAGCCTTCAAGATATATAGCCATGCCAATAGCTTCAACACACAGATTAAATGCTGGAAGATGAATGGTTAGGGTGAACTGCATGTTATTTTTTACAAATTGATATTTATATACAACAAAAACCTTGGCCTTTGCTTGGCGTGTTTATTATTTAGTCTGCATGTGCACAATGTGTGCCATGTTTTTTCTAGTGATTTTTGTTTCGTTCCATGGACTTTGTGTTCCAGTGTAACTTCCGCAAAAATGGCGGACCAATGACAAAATTAACAGGTAAAATCACTTCGAAATTTAGAGAACTTTTTACCTATAATAGCAAAACTTTTGTTATTTTTGCATTCTATCTATCAGATAAGAGTATCACACCAGGGGTATATAGGCAAATCCATTTTGGTAGAAGTACTCTGTTTAGTTTGAAACCTCACCCATTATTATTTTGTATCAGCACTATATGTACCAAAGTCTTACTTCGATCCAAAGCCTTTTCTATATTCCGGCTTTGAGCAGAAAGATTGAGCTGCCTAACAGGTATGTTCATCTGAAGCCATTTTTTAGCTACAGCGAGAAAATTTCACCATTTGTCAAACTCCACAAGAAATTTTTAAATATCTAAATCCAGACAAGCAACGCTTCATCCTAAATATAATTAATATTCTTAAAAATATTTTTAAAAATTATTAAATATGAGTTCTAGGTGCGTGTAGCACTTTTTCTATATTACATACGACTGAGACTAATATACTCTTTTATGTTAGTCTCAGCATACGATATCAATGAAGTTACATCTAGCTGTAAGCTACAGACTCAAGTAACCAAAGTCCATCTAATCTATCCTCTATTTTCTAGAATGGAAGTAATGCTTAGAGTATTGAGGATCTACGAAAGCTAAATTGGAAAGGGGAAAATCGTGCACACATTTCAACTTCCAGAGATAAATCCAGTGCAAAATCATTCACCTTTCACCTTTGACAATCTCCACAGAATAAATGCACGGCAAATTTATAGAGATCCGATGATATTATGTTCTTAGATTCATTACTTACATTTTGCAATTATTATAAAAGTAAACTGTACCTAAATATACGGAATATTTAGAAAAAACTTACCTATCCTTGATATCTGTTTACTTTCATTTAAATTCTAACGCGCACCTGTTTCGCGCACAATGACGTCACTTACAAGTTCCGGTGCAGAAAAAGTGAAAAAAACATCCTCCTATGTTCTTGATGTTTTCATAGATAAAAGGTATTTGCAAACTTCTCATAGGGTGTTGGCCATGTCTATCATGTCATTTTTAAACAATCTGAGGTATTAAAATCAACAACAGACGATCATGGATGAATGAAAATTGTAGTTGCAAATTTAATCTTTGCTATTATCACCCACCAAGATGTTTTGAATTTGACATGACTTACAAAATTAATACAAGGTCGATAATACAAATGTAGATCGAGGTTGCCACTTGCTATCCACTTGCTATCTTGCAATCCAGAATTCACTTTTAAATATGTGAGGCTGCACATACAGTAATACAGTGGGGATCATAAAGAATTGCAAAAGCTATGAAAATTACATGCTTTCGCACATGTAATAAATTCTTACCTCAGTGTATTCAGTGCTCTATTTTCTCCGTCTTAGTAAGTCCAAATATAGTGGAATTGGTGTCCCTAATGACAAATAAGAACTTCAAAAGTTGAATTGGATATTCACATGTTATGCCGACTCTTCAAATGTTGAGGTGATTTTGTCGCCCGATTGCGCCAGAACGGAGGATTGGCTCCCAGAATGCAACATGACACGTGCCAGCTTTCAAAATGCTGTTCCGCCATTTTGAAACCTGTCATGGTAAATACGGTTAACTGATGTTGCATTCTGGGAGTCAACCGTCCTTGGATAACAAACATGGCGATTCATGAAAACATTCATTCGATTTGGTAGGGATTTATCCATTATTTGCAGGTATGAAGCTTTGGATTCATTTATTGTGCTACTTTAGTGAACGGGAATTATTTTTCTACCGCTTGGGAGAGTTTGAGACACGAAACTTGGAAATAAGCTCATTTTGACAACTTGTGAACGTTGAGTTTTATTTTTGTCCCCTACTGTATGTCACGAATGTGCACACAAACTTGTAGCGACCGGGGCTCGAGCGGTTTGGGTGAAACCCCGGTCGAAATTTTCAAAGATTTCCTCAGAATCATTTTAAAAGTGTATGTGGAGTTTCAGTAAATATCGCTAAAATGAATCTAAATAAACAATATTGTAAAATCCCCAGAGGAGTCCGCGAATCGAAGGACTTATATTCCCTGATTGGCTCTGATTATCTATATTATTTCCACTGGAGTTCGTTGGATATCGATCTAAAATTACACGTAATAGATCATCATTTTTGTATAAAACTTGTGAGAATAAGGAGAAATGTTATAAAAAACGAGAGATTAACGTGCGCAGAAAACCTGTACTAGCTTTTTTGGTGAAATGCTGAGAAAGATTTTAAACTTGAACATTTCCTTCATTCATTATTGACTGTTTTGAAATAATGTTAGTTTAGTTTGGTGTGGAAAGCATCGAATGATAGATATTTATCAGGGGAGGATGCAGTGAATCACAAAATGCTTTACTGTTTTTCCGCATTTTAGAGTAAATAATGATGAAGTACTCTATTAGTGCCCATTTGATTCCTTTGGAAATTCAGTTTTTCTGATGCATTTGTTAATACTTGGTCATTCCTCGATAGTTCTTGAACTTTATGAAGCGGGATGGGTGCTAAATACGGCGATTATTGTAACTATTAAAGGTACATGTAGTGTTTGTTCTTCTTTCGATTTTTCTGATGAGTAAAACTTGATTTTTAGCTCAAATACGGTCAGATTGCACCAGTGAGAGTGTAAAAAGAGTGTGAAAAAAGATTTCTGCGGGGTCACACTTCGCTTGGCAAGGCAGTTAGCGCGAAACGAAACATCTCTTCTTTAGTATGTCTCCAAACAATTTGTATATAAACTTAAAATTTAAAATTTTTTTTTTAAGAAACTTTCACTGATGTGAAATAACAAGCTATGATGTTGGTTAACACGCCAGATGTTTATATAATATTAGTCGAAGCGTTTTTAGAAAATTTTGAAATTCACATTGTATGACATTATTTGTCTGTCAATTTGTTCAATTTGGAACAATTTCATCAAAATACACATTTACATTATAGACATATGTCATCCCTGAACTATGGAGTTTTCCCCCTCTTATTCATCTCATGTCTGTCACAGAGATTGATTCTGTCACAAACTCAATGTATAAATGTGATTTCAAACTACAGTATATGCAGAAATCATTGTCAGTTAGCCTTTTGGATTAGCTTTTTTGATTTCGATGTTGATGAGTAATGCTTTTGTAGATGTATAAAAATCTTTGGCCATGTGAAAATCTTATTCATCATGTATTTTCAGCTTCTAGAATCTAGTTCATGAATGACATTAACAGGTAGTAATGGCACAGTATTTAAATCGTACATTACGACAAGTACAGCAACAGATCTGCAAGCAATTTTCACGAGAGAGTCAGACAATACAACAACGTAACTATGCCAATGGCACATCAAGTGGTTCTACTCCTAGAAGGGCTGTGTTATATGTGCCTGGAAGTGACCAGCGGAAACTCTCCAAGATTCCATCATTAAAAGTAGATTGTGCAGTCATGGATTGTGAAGATGGTGTAGCAGTCAACAGAAAGGTAAAATGTAATTTTGTATTCTAAGTGGTGAATGGCCTAAGCAGGTGAGGCCTGCATACATTTTCTTTAATATGGGAAGTATTAAGTATACCTGTATTATGTCAATGTAATATGAATTTAAAGAAGGAATTAAGAATTGAAATGATTGAAATATATTTTTCAAAAATAATTTTGAACCTAGCATACGTGTGTCTTTGTGTTCCAGGATGAAGCAAGGCATACAATATGTAAAGCCCTAGATGAGCTTGTGTTTGGTGCCACTGAATGTGTTGCCAGGGTAAACAGTGTCAGCAGTGGCCTGGCAGAGGAGGATATGAAAGTTATCCTCCAGGCAAACCGTCTACCAGATACCATAATGCTTCCCAAAGTTGAGTCAGTGCAAGATATTAAATGGGTGAGTTCTCTAATTTAAGAAGTTAGTTCAGCCAGAAAGATTAACACTGACATTTGCGTACCTCAAAAACTAAAATGTATGTGTGACTGTAAGTTAAAAATGAGGTAATTGGGTAAAGAAGCAGATTGTCTTTTTTGGCCCAACTTCCAATCGTGTGCTTTCAATGAGATAATTTAAAGCCCATGGCCCAACCCATAATAAAAATATCAGTCTGACTCAATATTGGCTTTTTCCTATCTTGTTATGTTGACAGCTTTTTCCATTAAAATAGAGCTGGAGCGGAAAAATTTAATGTCAGAATCATCCAAATTTACTTTCAGAAACAGATTTTCAGAGCTGTCTTCTCATGTTCCCCAAATTTTGCATAAAAATGCTGCATAATCATGTTTTGCATATTTAGATCAAGAGTGTGAAGCTACTATATTGTGTAAATTGCATAAAATATAAGTGCCATGTTTGTTTTGATTGATTCATATAATTATTTTATTCATTTTTGTTGAATTATCTTTGATGAGTCAAATTCTAAAGGCAAGTTTCAGTTCTGTTCCTTGCCATACCATTCCTGAAGAAATACATTATTTATTTTCAGTTTTCAGAAACATTGTCACAGGTGCTCAAACACCGGGACCTCAGAGGTGACAGAATCAATCTTGTGATATTTGTGGAGAGTGCAAGGGGTCTTCTAAACCTCAGAGACATCTGTCTTTGGGGTCAGGAACTGTCAAAAGGTGACACATGTTTTAACCTTGATGGTATTGTGTTTGGCTCTGACGACTTCTGTGCAGATATAGGTACATTATTCAACTTTTCATTTTTTGTTTATTTACTTTTAAAAAGCATATTCTGCAATACTCTGATACACATGGAAGAAATATATTACAGTCTGTGCATTACAGTGAATATATTGAAACAATTTACATAATGTACATTTTTTAGTAATAAGAATTTATTCATTCAAAGTTTTTATAACAATACATAATTCCAATCACCCGGGGGCATAACAGGAAAAATGGTCATTCAAACAATATACAAATATTGATACATGAAATACATGTAAATGATAATAGTAAACTAGGCAAAAAAGCGGAATTGGAATTATGTATTGTTGTAAAAACCTTGAATGAATAAATTCTTATTACTAAAAAAAATTTCATTTTTGAAAGCTCTGTTTTTAACAATGTTTTGGTAAAAACAGAGCTTTCAGAAATTCAAAGATCAACATTTTAGCCAACCATTTTTTACATCTTTACTGTACTATTGCAGGTGCTACTAGAACTACAGATGCAATGGAACTTCTCTATGCCAGACAAAAAGTTGTGATTATTGCTAAAGCATTTGGTTTACAAGCTATAGACCTTGTACATATAGACTATAAAGGTACGCTACATGTTTTTCTAAAATCCCTAATTTGAGCTAGAAACAAATTGTTTTCACATTTCTTAAAAAAGATGCACACAACAATAAACATTGAATAAAATTGATTCAGTTTTCATATTCAATATGGCCCTTTTTGAATAGATGGTGATTATGTTAGACATTCTATCCATTAACGCTTGCCTTTTTTAAAATTTATTTCAGATCTTGAATCACTAAAGCGTACTTCAGAGGCAGGTGCAGGTATGGGGTTCACTGGGAAACAGGTGATCCATCCCAGTCAAGTCCCAATTGTTCAGGCTGCTTTTTCCCCCTCCCCAGCCAAGATAGAGTGGGCCTCTCAGCTTATTGAAGAGTTCAAACTCCATCAAGCTTCAGGGCAGGTAATGTTCAGCATTTTGATTCTCAGTTTGTTTATTGATTTCATGATATTACTGGTATATGCCATGCTGGATGCCAGGTTTTGGTTTTCAAAATGTGGAAGCAAAGAATGATTACACCGATAGGGAAAATTCATGTAATCAAATCACTAATGATCTCTCAATTAACCTTTCTGCTAGCAGTTTTACCCCTTCCATCAGATGCATATCTAAAAGATGTTGAAACAAAACTATACAAGTTTATATGGAATGGCAAAAGAGATAAAATTTCAAGAAAAATATTACAGTTAGAACTGATCAAAGGAGGACTAGAAATGGTTAACCTAAAAGCCTTTGCCAAAAATGCAAAGGTTAAATGGTTAAGAAAATATTTCAATACAGATGACCAAGGTAAATGGAAAACTTTATGGAAAATGAAGCTAAAAAACTATGATAATAAGGGAAAATGGAATTGTAATGCTAAGGACCCAAAAACACTAGAAGACAAGGTGAACATTACAAGCATAGATGAAATACTAAAAATATGGTGTGAGCTACACTACAAAGCAGCAAATGAACTTGTCACGAAGGAAGAAATAAAACATCAAATTATATGGAATAACAGCTGCATTCTGAACAGAAAAGAAACTATATACAACAATGAATGGGAATCTAAGGGAATAAGGCATATACATCAGTTATATAAAGAGAACAAATTATTAAGATTCCAAGAACTGGAAACCAAGTATAATTTAGCTCAACAAACATTCCTAGACTATAACAAAATTGTAATATGTATACCATTATCATGGAGACAAAAAATGGTGGAAGGGGGAGAAATTCGTACAAACTGGAAGCCACTCAGAGAACAATTGCCAAACATCTCAAATAAAAGCACTTATAGGATGTTTAAAAGACAGATAAAAATACAACCAATAAAAGCACAAGACAAGTGGCTTAGGGTGCTAAATGTAAATGAGGATAACTATAAAGAATGGGATGAAATATACACCACTTATAAAGTGATAACAGAAAATGCGAAACTTAGATACTTCCAGTACAGATTATTACACAGAACAATTTACTTCAATAAAATGCTGAACAAAATGAATATAGAGGGAAAAAACACGCCAATGTGTATAATATGTAATGAGAACCATATAGATAGCATCGAACATGGATTCCTAGAGTGTACAGCCACAAAGGACTTCTTGAGAACGTGCTATGAGGAAGCTGGTGAAAACATACCAGAAAATAAAGACATTATTTTTGGATACAGTAGAGAAAAAAGACAACAAAATAAGCTACTGATCCATATGAAACATTTCATATACTTAAGAAAATTAGGAGACAAAAGACCAGAACTAGTTCCTTTTAAAATATACCTCCAGAGTCAAAAAGAAGAAGAAAAATACATAGCGAAGAAAAACAACAAAATGGAACAGCATGAGACACTATGGAATATCTGTAGCAGACTTTTGCGTTAATAGCATCAATTTATACAAAGTGACAAAAATCATCAATCTTCCTTTCTCTCTCTCTCTCTCTCCTTCTACAGCAAACAACATAATAACCTGTAAAAAATAATATGTGAAAATAAAGATTTATTTATAAAAAAAAAAAAAAAAAAAAAAAAAGGTTTTGGTTTTCAGTGTTTGTGATCTTCAAATGTATTTTTTGTAGTTGGTAACCTTTTTACATGTTTTCCTGGGACCTTTGGTTATTTATTAAATTGTTTTGAAATTGAATACATGTAGTTCAGGTTTCAGTTTTACAGAACTGAAGATCCTTTTTGTTTATATATTATTTCGTTCAATTTCTGTTATGGTTAATAGAGAAATTCATTTGTTGCAGGGGGCGTTCAACTTTAGGGGGCACATGATTGACAAACCATTACTACTACAAGCAGAAAATGTTTTAAAACTTGCAGAACGTATCAAAGACAATGACACGTGACAAGTATAAGATCAATGGTGTTAAAGTTGTTGTATCTTGGATGTTGTATGATAGACCTCTTTATATACAAATGCATAGCTTGCAAAGCGCACAAACAAATGTTATGAAAAGACTGATGAACCAGGGATGATGTATTGTGTAGTCCTCCTACCAATTTGGTCTTTGTTAATTTTCAACTTGGTACAGGGGAATCTAACAAGTAAAGGTGATATCATTACAATAGTAACTCATTTGTCCTTTTTCCTTTCATGTATTGGCCCATTTGGCCAATGATATGTGCCTTTGAGGTCTGTGTGAATGCTTATTATTAATCTGGCCAAAATTACTTCATTCTTTTAAAACAATGCATTTCCAATAGACACTCTCACATCGAAAGCTTTTTGCATTTCATCACCTGCTGTATGACGTCATAGAGCAATTGACACAAAAATGAATGTGGCAGCTATTATTTTTTTATCCGAATATTTAACACTGCAAAATGTACAACATTGTATCGAGAGACATCTATTTAACTTTCAAAGCTAATTTCTTGGTCAGAGGAATACATGTAGGAGAAAGCTTATTGATTTTTTTTTCGTTGAGATATACATATTGCTGTGTCCCATACAAAAGTTTTTATAAAAATAAGATATATTGAGCTATTCACTAATCCTACCAAATGTATAAGAAAAATATGATGAGACACTAAAATGATTCTGCACGTAAACCAAATACACAATATATAGTTGAAGTTGTGCATTAAGCAAAAGACTGTGATGGCTCTTCACCTCTGACCTCATTGGTACTCCACTTGATTATGCTGGTTAAAGAAACAGATCGTTTTGGTTACATAATGTTGGAAACTCGAGCATGTTAAAAGTGCAGATCTTAACTGTTTTTGATTTTCTGTTTACATAACAAAACTGAGGTACATGTATTGAATCGATGATTCTGTTGTCTTCTGAACAATTTCTAAAGGTTCCACATTTTGTTTTGGAAACAGCGTAATAGAGTGAAGCACCAGTGTGACCTGGGATTAGGTTTAGGATTCTTTATGTTGCCATTAATATGTGGCCATATGTTTAAAGATACTTAAATTTGTAAATTTGCCTGTAAAGTGGTAATAGAGAACGATTAGAATTAGCACTCTTGTACATAATTGGTGATCCACTGTTTAAGGTATGCAACTAATTAAAACAATTTACAGTGACAGCAGCTTTGTTTTGATCCTAAATTGTGACCTTATATTTTTGGGCTCAAAGAATTTATCCTTTGACTTTTCATGGAGTTCTAATTGATGCTAAATGACATTTATTATTTATTATATATCGTATAGATAACATGTTAACAATGCTTAGGAGCATATAAAATAAACTGTGCCATAAGCTAAATCTGACCTACTTTTATTTAATATAGATCATAGAATTTCAATTAACCACGTTGTGTTGAAAATGATTATCCAAATTGCCAACTTACATGTAACTAACAACCATTAGTGGAACATTAAATGTTATATCTACTAAATAGTATTACTCGTACATGGATTTTATGTATACTTTTAAAGTTTAATAAAATTATAAAAAAGACCATTAGTTCTTGTGGTTTACTTTCTTAGAACATTAAAGGTTCTCCAGTCTTTGTGGAAAGATGCACCAGTATTCACTTGAAATATTTGCATATTGTTTTATATAGGATTAATAGATGCAGTATATAAAAATTTATAAATACTGCGCTTGTTAATGATATTTAAGGTTTTAAACCAAGGACTCTCAAAAAGAACCTAACGCTACCACAAGGAATAGAGCTAACCAAAATTTCCAAAAAGGCCTAAGTTGAGCTTTAATGTCAAATTGAAGAACCCCTGTTCTTACTATTGAAAATGGATTTTACCAATACTCACCCACGTGAATCTACTTGTTGAGACGCAATAAACTTGAGTTCTTCTGAGATACATGTATGAGGAGTTTGTCTCTATCACCATGATAGCATAGTATAAGCATATATGATGATATACAGCTTGTCAATTGTCAAGTCAATTGTGATGTAATTCAATACATCCTTGCTGAAATCCTTAGTGTCTCAGAAGCACTGAAGATGTTCCAGTTTCAACAAGAAGATTCATGTCGGATAGTATTGCTAGAATTAATTTTCAATAGCAAGAATGGGGGTTCTTAAACAGGACATTGGTCTTGCTTTTTAGAACTTTTTATTGCCTTTAATATTTGAACATGAAAAGTTTGATGCAAAAATGGTCAAAATTAGGTTAAAAACAAACAGAGAAAAACTTTATTCTTTATTGTTTTTATTTTAATTTGTAGTACAATATATTTCAACAATATCACAATCAAAGAATCAATAAAAGCATTTTAGCATTTACTGTTAAAGTAATTATCCACTTACATTTGTATGGTATACATTCATGGTAATGCCTATTCTAAAGATCATTCCGGTAAACCCTGCTACCTTTTGATATATCAGAGAAAGTTTGGTATATTGGCTATGCTTGATGATGTTAGAGGTTGTTTTTTAAAATTATCAATAAGTTAATCTTGTTTTTGCATGGTCGGATTTCTACCTACAACCAATGACATCATTAATTTAGCCAAAATATCATAGTTTTTCTCATTATCAGAAGGTGGCAGGATTTATAGGAATAATCTATTGCAGTATCATATTCTAAAGGACATGGATATGATGCCCTAGTTTGATAATAAATTAGGGAACCATATAAAATAGATGAGTTCTTGATGTGAAAGTCAAAGAATTGTAAAACGATGCTACCATGAATATTTCAGTTATTCTTTTATCACAGGTTTAATAGTATATTGATATAAATGATGAACTAATTGATATGTACAACTGGACATATTTACAGCAGGGGTTATGTACAGCTAGGGATATGTACAGCTGACATTTCCACTGTGTTCGGTTATTTATTGTGACTAATGTACAAATAGTAATGTACTATTTTATTAAACACACCCATCCTTACTTCAATATACTTCCTGGCAATGATTTAACAATGGAGTGAGTGCTCTGTGTACAATTCATTGAGAGTCTGAACTGAAAATTGCCGTCTCCAATTTTTGAGTATATTTCCATTTTTCTAAAATAATAGGTATAACAGGCCTCTTAAAGGGACATGACATAACCCCTTCCCAGTGTCCCAAAAGGCTAGTTCAGCAAGCAAGTACAGTAAAACCTGGTAGTGTTAATGTGAGTTATATAGCTACAGCAAACATGAACACTTAAGCTCCAAAGTGTTGTTTCGTGTTGGTTTTAGGTCTTAATGTAATGTTATGTAAACTGTTTAAGCAACGGGCATCATGTGCTTTCTTTGGTTTATGTCACCACTCTGGTTGTTTTATGAATATACATGTTGGTCTGAGGAATGTTTCCATTAACTTTCCCGTTGTTTTCATTCATAATGCCTGGGGTCTGAAATTCTGTACCAATTGCTTTAAAATTGTTCAATACCACCACTACTATAAATCCTTTAACTGTGCTAATTGTCTTTCTAAATCTGCATCTGTCACTTTTGATTTTGAAGACTCTCCTAATGCACCTCTGTGGGCTGATGGGGCATCCACCATCTGGAGAAAAATAGAACAATGTGTACGTCTACATCAATAATCTGAAAGAGGCTAATAAGCCCATTTAAAGCAGATATATAGTTAACAGTGATAGAATTTCAATAGAATACATCTTTTTTTTTTTTTTTTTTTTTTTTTTTTATTAAAAATATTTATTCTCTAAAATTAAAATCAAATACATAATAACACTTGACACTTTTAGTAAGTGTATCAGCGTGAAAACATTTAAATATTAACCTGAGTCAAATGGAAATGAGAAAAAAAGAACAATTTAAATATATTTACTCAGTTAAATGAGAATAAAATTGATAACAATATATAAAATCTACATATATGTTTGTCAGTAATTCAGTTCATCATAGGTTGATGTCATATGATATGAATTTTAAAATTCTTTTTAAAACAGTTAATGGAAGGTAATGTTTTCAAACAAGTTGGCAGATTATTCCAAAGCTGAGCACCTGAATATTTTATTGAGTTTTGACCTATAATTGTTCTAAATTTTTTCATGTGAAGACAATTTTGGAATCTTGTCTCATGTTCGTGAAATATCAAATTTGGAGTAAAATAATTTTCAAATATGTCAAAAGGAAAGCCATCGGGTTTTGTTGTGTATTGATAAAGAAATTTTGCAACTTCAAGCTTATGTATGTCAAAAATATCTAGAAAATTGAGTTGTTTAAAAAGAGGTGGGCTATGTGCTAAAAAGTCAGAATTTGTGATTATTCTCACTGCACGTTTTTGTAACAAAAGCAATTTATTCAAAAAGGTTTTACATGCATTACCCCATATGATGTTGCAATAGTTCAATTGTGATAATATAAGTGAATTATAAATGGTAATCATGGTTTTTGTATTCAATTTATATTTAATCTTTCCCAGAATACCAATAATTTTAGATATTTTATGTATAACCTTATTTATGTGCTCATTCCATTTTAATTTACAATCAATTGTTACTCCCAGAAAATTTGTATGCATTACTCTTTCAAGAATATTACCCCCTATTTTTATATTAAAATCTTGATTTTCATCAATATTTAACTTTGATCTTGTAAATAGCATATAATTTGTCTTGTCTATATTCAAAGAAAGTTTATTTGATTCGAACCATTCTAATGTCTTTTCCATTTCTAGATTTACATTTCTATATAGATCATGAAGGTCTTTGTTTGAACATAAGATATTTGTATCATCTGCGAAAATAGTAAATTTAAGAATATTTGAAACCTTATGTAAATCATTTATATAGAGAATGAATAAGATGGGGCCTAAAACAGACCCTTGAGGTACACCACAAGTGATAATATTTTCTTCAGATAGAGTGTTGTTAAAAGAAGTAATGATTTTCCTATCAGATAAATAGCTTTCAAACCAATTTTTTGCGACATTGCGAATTCCAAAATTTTCAAGTTTTTTTAGAAGAATTTCATGGTTTACTGTATCGAAGGCTTTGGATAAATCTAAAAATATTCCAATAGCATGAGTTGAGCTTTTATCTAGAGATATCCTCACTTCTTCCAAGAAGGAGAGGATTGCCATATAAGTTGAATAATGTTTTCTAAAACCAAACTGATTTTTGAATAAAAGTTTGTATGTTTCAATAAATGTTATTAATCTATTTTTCATGATCTGTTCTAAGAGTTTAGAAAAGACACTAAGTAGAGATATAGGTCTATAGTTTGAAAATTTTGAAGTATTTCCTTTTTTAAAAAGTGGGATAACTTTGGCTGTTTTCAACTTAGTGGGAAAAACCCCTGTATGGATAGACAAGTTTGCTATATGAACAAATGGTAAAAGTAAGTTATTTCTTGCATGTTTAACTACTATTGGTTTGAATTCATCTAGGCCTGGTGAGCAATCTTTTAAAACTGACATTAAATTTTCGATTTCATTCTTAGTCACAGGAGTAAGTTCTAAAGAAGATTCATTGATTTCCATAAATGTAAAAGGGGACGTTTTTGAACTTATCTTTGATGCTAATTTAGGTCCAACATTAGAAAAAAATCTGTTAAAATGATTAGCAATATCTTTTCTATCAGTCAAAATATCATCTCCATCATAAAATTTATCTGGAAAAACTGAATCACATTTTTTGCGGTGAAGTAAGTCATTTATAACAGACCAAGTATTCTTGATATTATTGCTTGTTTCAGTAAATCTATCACAAAAATATTTCTTAAAACTTAACATTTAAAAACTAGATCTATGTTTTAGTTTCAAGTTTCAACTCATTTTAAAATTGAAAGGAAACTCCCTGGTTGGATAGAGAGACAGATGGACAGACTGATGGATGAACTGATGGAAAGGGGGATGATTTCATAGGCCAAAAAATGAATGTCCTCTTCGATGCATTAACATACCTTTCCTGAGATTTCAATGCCAATTTCATCTAGCACCTGTGTTACAACAGCATCTTGTTCCTCTTCATCACCAGACTCATCAAAAATATCCTCCAAAGTATCATTCACTGCAATTACATGTGATGGTTATAACTATAACATCTAATAGGGGGTATATTTTAAAATGCTTATACCTTAGGTTTTTATGAAACATAGATCTAAATGTTTTGGTTTACCAGGGTTCTTAACACTATATATGGAACTTGAATAAATCTATTCTCTTGGTGTAAATAAAATAACAAGATAATGCTTAGGCCATGAGAAGTAGATTCTTCGTTTTGCGTCCCCTTCCTTGCACAATTTTGAGTAAATCAGAAAAAACAAACTCATCCAAATAGCAATCCCAATGGTCTGAAAGTACCATCGCATTTCCTTCAAATCAGAAGAAGAAATGGTGGACAATTTGATGTGCGTCAACATTGACGGTGTTATTCAGATTACTTCGGCATACATTGTGTTTTTCCTTATTTTGATTACCTTTGAAATATAACGTTTCATAGCCATATTTAAATATATTGCATATGATTTATAGATATTTGTTTGTAATCGTTACAAATTGGTATTTCATCCCTTTTAAAATGTATACATTTCCTAGCAAACGAGTTTGTGTTTTTTCTTGAGTTTGTGTTTGTTTTCCTTGTAACCTTACATGATTTGGATTTTGCCAGGACGCAAAACAAAGGATTTACTTCTTATGGCCTTATCTGTATGCTAGAAAATCTGTAATAGCTGTCAAATAAAATATTTCTGAAATGGAACACCTCGCAAGCGAAACAATTTTTTAAGTCCTGTGACCTCATTCATTGACCTCTATTAACTTACTCATTTCTTCTGTCATGTCCATCTTCATTGACTCTTTGTTAAACTGTTGCATTGTCTTCATCGTCTTCTCTGGATCCATTGTTTTGTTCATGTTACCCATGGCCTGCAAGTATACAAAATCTCATATAATCATTTGGGGAATCGAGTAAACAATTATGCATGCAGAAATAAACATTATAAATATTTCAGTGAATCAGAACATCATTATTTTCAAAATGATTACATAAGGAAGGACATTTATGGTGGATTAAATACAAAATACATATCCATCTCTCTTATCTAACATCATCCTATTAAATGTGGAAAACCACTTTTTTGACAGAATGGGAAAATTCCCAGAGGATTATACAAACAGTTTGAGGTATCTCAAGGCTCTAATTCCCCACTGAAAGGTCTGTTGAGGATCTCTACAATACTGGGATAGCTCGAATTAATGGAATGTACATACAAGGCATTAACATGCAAAATGTCACAACCTGCCATGTGTTACATATGCTTACCGCCAAATGCTGACTGCCGAACCCAACAACTTTTGGTGGTGACATAACAATGTGTAGAAACAAAGACAAGAAAGACATATAAAATATGAATAAGGAGGTATTACCTTTGTAGTTGATGCCATTGCCTCTGCCATCTTGACATTAGAGTGCATCATCTGCAACATAGGTTAATTAAAGGTAATATTTCATTATTATAGGGAATATACATGAGGTGATAAATGTGTGAATAGATTCCATATTCATTAAAAACATATTTATTACATGTACATGCAAACATGAATAAAAATTGCCACACTTGTAGCATTTAATATACAGTATACTAAAATGTTCAGACTAATCAAATTTTGAATCCACAAATCAATGGGCTTTATTTTCATATTTCATATTATATATTTTCCATCATTAATTCTGGATGATCAGTGGTGACTTCCTATGTTTACTAAGAAAAGTGCTCAAATATACAGTTTTACTGTGTACATGAGAATATGGAGTTACAACAAATCTGTAAGGAGAACATATTATACCTTTCCATGTGTGTTAATAGACTGTATTTTAGAACCCATCTGATATGTCTTGGTTTTCTGCTTACGTAATTGCACTAGTTGTTTAGCAAGAATTGTACAAGTCTAAAAAATAAACAATGAAACTAAAAATGCAATGCAAATATATATTCGAAGACAACAATCTTGATTTTAAGATTTTGGCATATTTATAGAAAATGACAAGGGAGAAATTCTCTCTACAGCTTCGAAGATTGGATCCAAAAATATTTCTGAGAGCAGTTTTATTCTTTAACAAGGTTGGATGGATGGATGGTTGGCCTAGCAGTTCAACTTATGAGGCATCCCAGGTTCTTCGCCAGCTTTTGCCAAGCGAGGTTCACTTTTGACAAATTTGGCCCAAAAGTGGCCAAAATCACTTGAAAAGTGCTCAGAATGGTGAAAAACCTCATGATTTTGAAAGAATTTTTGGCCAGGGGAGGGGGGGCTTCAATCCCTAAGCTCTAGTTCATTCTAATAGTATCAATAACAGGTAAAAGACTTACATGTTTGTCTCCTTGCTTGGCTGCTCTCTTTATATCCATCTCCTAAAACACAAAATGCAGAACATTAACTTTTGCAGAATCCTGACATTTGCAATAATTAAACCTCAAAGAAACAAGTTCAATATCCAGTAAAATCTGTAAAACACATCTCTATACTTTAAGTGGAACACTTCTGCAAGATGAACACTTTTCACAGTCCCATGACCCATACAGTTATTGTTAATTAAACCTCTATAGGTAGAACACCTCATAAGTGGAACACTTTAAGTGGAACTAAAGGTGTTCTACTTTAACAGGTTTTATTGAATAAATGTTGGCCAACAAGCTACTGGGGAGTATATATATAGGGGAGTGAATAAATCAATTTCAAAAGGAAATGTTTTTTTTAAAATTGAAAGATCAGGAAATACTCAATTATATATATGGCAAGAGAGTCAATCTACAATGTAACTACTAGTTTCACTGGGTGTTTCTTAATGTGAAGATTATCTATTGTATATTCTTTTTATGAAGGACTTAAACTATAATACTAGTACTACACTATATAACAAGAACCATACTATTTTTTTCTCCTCTCTTTCCAGCCCAGTTCTGTCTCGTGCAATATCTCTTTGAGTCTTGCGTAGATCTCGATCATTTTGACGCATTTGTTCTGAAAAAATAAAAGAGAATTTAATAATGAAAGTAAATAAAGAATCTGTGGTATGTTCAAGACTTGTTTGTAATTTGAGATTCTGTTGGCAGTCGCGTATAACATGCGGTTTGGAAGCTCTTCAATCCTCTCAGAACCAGCTGAATGTTTCAACATGTTACAATTGCACTGGCCAAAATTCAATTCGCTGATCGCTGCTATTTTTGGTGAGGTAATAAGACCAATACTCGCAATTCAATTTGTGATGTGGAAAAGACGAACATTTGATTTCAAATTTTATGATTGCGACATGACCCGTATACAGCAGAAAAAAACATGCAGGGAGTTTATCCTTGGACGAAGGCCACGATATAGTGGCCTTAGAAGAAGGTGAGGCTGTATGTCATAAACTTCCTTGTTTTTGACTCCCAAAATTGTTTCTTGTTTTGTCTCCAAAAATGAGAAAATGATCAAGCAATACAATTACCTTTCACAGTTGGGGTCTTCCCAAAAAGCGGCATCTTTGTTGGTCTGTTAAATGACTGGATACTAAGCAGAGGATCTCTTAACGTGTGAGAATGACTAATAATGTAACTTCAAAATATTTTCATTTTCACCTGACAGGAAGTTGACAATGCGCATGCGTACTAAATAGATTAACTTATTTCCGGTTGGCGAAGCCGAAAGAACATCATCCTATCATTTCCAATTTCCTGAAGCAATACTGTTATAAAGGTAGCAGGATGGATGGCAGTGGAATGAATAGGAAACGACGGTAAATATGGCATAATTATTATCTTTGCATATGATTTTGGTTTGCTAAAAACTTCATTTGAAATTTGACAAAATAAAAAGCGTGGTCCGCCATTTTTAAATTTCTAAGCTTTTGTTCTAATCTAGTGTTTTCCATTTTGTACTGGCTCCAATGTTGCTGGAACACCATCGACAAATTATTTCAATCGCTTACAATATTATGCATTTTTATTAGAATGCACATTTTGGCTCTATATTTAATATTTTTGTGCGTTTCATTTCTTGAGCTCGAGGGAGACTCAGGCCATTTATTTTTGACCCAATTTATTGTGCACAAACTGGTGGCTAGGCTGCTTGAGTATTAGTCAGGGATTGAGCAAACTGAAACTCTTGAGAACAGTTTCCAAGTCGTATTTTCCAATTTTGATCGGCCTAAGCAGACTTTATCTTCTGGATTGTGATTGCTCTTACAAGATTGCTCAAGAGTTTTAAGGTCAGGGTGCATGATGGGAAATTTTCTGCATTCCTCAATTGAGTCACATGTTATTTTTCAAACAAGAATCACTCCTTCTACATCTTCCAGGTTTGCACAAAGAGTGCACTTATGTGTCTAGAAAAGCCTTGTGAGAAGATTTGTTTTGTAAAATGCATAAAAAACGAGAAAATTCAGTGAAAAGAATTTCTGAAAATTTTCTGAATTTTTTCACTGAATTTTCTTGTTTTTTATACACTTTATCAAAACATTCTTCTCACAAGTCTTTTCTATGCACATAAGTGCACTCTTTGTGCAAACCTGGAAGATGTAGACAATGTGGGGAAGGAGTTATTCTTGTTTGAAAAATAACATGTGACTCAATTTAGGAATGCAGAAAATTTCCCAACATGCACCCTGTCCTTAACTGCAGAGCAACTACATAGCGTACACCATACATACACACGCAATGTCAATGTTTTAGCCTGCGCTTTTCTCCACAATATCTTACATAGAGGGACTTTCCTTCTAAATGCTCATTCATTCTCATAGAAATCAATGGTGTTTATTTTTATAACCATGGATTTATTTTAAGATTTTTAAATATAAGGTTTACTATTTTTTTCAAGGCCTGTCTGCGTCGCTAACATGCTAAATATAAGAGTTAGCTGACGTTTGGGAGTCTGACTTACCTTCTAAAGGTTAGAACCCGAATCTTAATGAAACTATATCACCTTTGTTGCGTCGATGATGATGCATAAACATAGCATTTGATAGAAATTAGCGTAAATGCTTTTCCGACTTTTTCATTTTTCATCAATGTTGACTTCCGGGAAGGCGTTGTAGTTATCACGAAATAACGCATTGACCCTTGAACTTTACTTTGTTGACGTGTCAACCAAGCATGTCTGGTGTGAAAATTAAAAGAATATTAAGCAATGTTCTACATCCGCCAAGCTAAGTGAAGTAGTCAATATTAAAAATTACCAATTTCAAGTGAAGTACGCAACGAACGAAACTGCGTGATCTACACTCCCACTATTGGTCTGAATGAAATGCTACGTAGAAATATGAGCCGTCTGCTGTATTAGTCGATTAATAGAGAAAGACCTGTTGGTGATGCTTTATAATTTAGACCAAAACATTGAAGAACAAACGAACCTGTAAATCGTGAAAACAACGAACAAATATTCGGTTTTCACATATGTTCGGTAATTTTTCGTATTGAAACTTCCGGAACTTACAAGGAAATCATTCATTTTCTCGATCCATGATTTACCTCTTGGATGTTGTGGCAAATGCTCCATGGTTGACGGAACAAAGGTGATATGGTTTCATTAAGATTCGGGTTCTAACCTTTAGAAGGTAAGTCAGACTCCCAAACGTCAGCTAACTCTTATATTTAGCATGTTAGCGACGCAGACAGGCCTTGAAAAAAATAGTAAATAGATTATATTCTATTCAAATTCTTCTATTGTTAGATGATATATCTGCTCCAGATGGGCTTATTACCCTTTTGTAGGTCATATGGACATAGAACCGTAGATTTCAATAATGGGTCGATACCCGATTCTATATTGTATTGGTGAAAGATTTACTTTACTTTAGCTAAAGTTACAGTCGAGCAATTTAAATTGCAAATTTGACCTATGTATACACATGAAAGATACTATATATAATATGATATAATACATTTGAAAGTCATTAATACATTGTTGTTTTTGATGAAATGAGTATTCATAGGATGGATATTCTATAGTGATAGGATATTGACTTAAATATTGTTGATATTGATTTTCAATATCATTTGGAGCACTAATGATTGTACCATAGTTTTAGTAGAATTTTATTGCACATTATGCTGACCATCTGACATATTCAAATGTTGTTATATAGTTCATTGATCGCTCAGTTTCTTCTTTTTGTACACTTTAAACAAAAAGAAATCTGTAATAAATGTGAATTTTGCTATAATTTATCTTTTATTTTCGTTTGAACCAGCTTGTGACATTACTTCTAATATATCCGGAATTTGGAATAGGATGGCCTTAATAGAAGAAGCAGAAAAAGATATGCCTTCTTGTTTGAAATGGAGTCATCATTCTCACATCTAAATGCAGTCTTTGCAAGGCTTGATTCAGGATTGATATTGAACTGTACCTAAAATATGATGTTACCTGCATCTAATTTGCAGATTCTAAGCCGATTTGTAGTAACCAAATATTCTAAATGTTTCATGACATTTTGAAAATTTGGAGAAAGGAATGCAGTAAAGAAAATTAGGCGATCAGTTTGCTGAAATCTAAGCGGTTTATATAGATATACATGTATATATGAAGTAGGAAAAATAATGGTTGTTATTGAATATAACATCAAAATGCTTGATTACTTAACACTATGTTTTGCTGACGTTGTACAAAGGAGCGTCATGAAGAAAATGGTGGTAAATATAATGACAATGAAAAAATTGACCCAAACAGTAATGTAATGTAATGCATTTGAAACCAGAGGAATAAGGTCATCTAAAAATATGGAATTAAATATGAATAAATACCAATCGATATGAAATATAGAAGTTGAGTAGATGGTACTGTTATAACATTCTTAAGAATATATTTCATTGTATGCATATTGAATTCATCATAAATTTCAGGAAAGCCAAGAAAAGTGCCAATAACAATATTCCCGCTGCTGTACTAAAACGTCAGCAGCAAGCTAATCTTGCCAAAAGACTTCAGCATCAAGAAGAACTGTATTACCTGCAACTTCAAGAGGAGGAGTATTATGCTGAAGAAAGAGCTCGTGAATTATATAATCCCTCAAGCCTCCTACAAAATGTTGACACGTACACTTGGAGGTACCTGGGATCCACACAGTGTAATTGTAATCATTGATTTAAACCTTGAAAAACTTTTTTCTGTCTCATTTGAAGAAGTCTTACATCCATCACTGGAACCCTATATATAGACCATATAAACTACTGTTAAATCTAAATTCAGTTTTGTCAACATATTTGGCCATTTAAAAACATCATTCATTTAACTTTTCCCTTCAAGTTTTTTAAATGAATATTATTAACTCATTTAGATATTCGGGACAGAGAATGGTTTGCAAGGTGAACTAACTGTTGGTCAATATAAGTTATACCTGTATTGAGACATAACTTACATTGCCAATAGGTATTTAATAATTAATATAAAACTATTTTATTTAGATTAAAGATAAGAAAATGTGAACATTATCCATTATCTGAAAGAGAAGGATCTACAAGCGAGAAGAAATCCAAAGATCGTTGAGCATGACAAAAGATCAACAAATATGACCAAAGATCATCAAACATGACCTAAGATCGTCCAGCATGACCACATATTATGAAAGTTGCCAATGCTTGAATATCAAAAAAATGTCAAAAGTGACATCAAATATGTCAAAAGTGAACTCAATGATGTCAAATGTTAACCATTACGGTGTCATACTAGTGATGCTTTATTGTATGAAGTGATTTTTGAATTTTTGATCCATCAAAAAATAAAATGCAGTTATAATCAATCTATGGCAAGCGTCATTCATTGATCCCAGAAATATGCAACGTTCGGGTTATATTTTCAAATGCTCGAAATGACACATGTTTTTGGTGTTGTCATACTTACAAAATTCACTGCTAACAGTCATGTAGTTTGTAACTTCCTTATTCATTTGATGAATGCTATTTCTTCATTTCAAAAATCTTGACTTTGTCAGAACTCTGCATCAGAATCGACATTTTTTGAGCTTGATATCTTCATATCAGATTCTCTGAATATTGTCGCTTATCAATATCAAAAGTGAATCACTTGACTTAACTGTAAGTCATAGAAGAGAATAAGGACGAAATGATCTGTCAACAACATATTTGAATGGCTGACCTATTGAGCGAAGCAATGGATGTCAAACGATGCCGGAATATACACATATATTAAGAAGAACATTGGTAACTAAGAAGATGGATATATTTTATCGAACTCTGTCAGAACTTTTGTCTCAAAGTGGAGTTAATCATTATTTTTAGATTGACTGCATGCGCTGATTCATTTTTTATATATTTTGACATCATTTCTCAAAATTGTGGTTATTTGAGAAGCTGTTTTTTGCAATGAATGCAGAAATATTTGAACCAGCGTTAACATTTTTGACATAGGAGCAGTAAAAGCTGGGGCATCCTCAAGAGAATTGGAGAAAATTTATGTATGGATTTTCGAAAATTTAGCAGGTAGTTGTCGAGGTTGACCAATGACCATGATAGTCATTTGACATGCAGTTACAAATGTCAGTGATCAAAATAGCGAACCTACTTATTTACAATCACGGGATTATCTTAGATTGACTATCAGATCCTGTTTAAATACTCTGTGTATCTAGACTAGTGGAACAGAGATTTACATTTAGGATGTATTGCAGCTGCACCGAGAATGAAGTCATTATTTTTTTGAAAAATAAAAAAGAATATGAAAAGAAATCTAGATTGTTAATGACCTTTATTCATATCATAATTTTACATTTTTTGGTATATGTTTGATTTTTTTGATTTTTGCATTTGACCTTTAAATCAATCAAAAAACTGGCATTATATTGCGGCTTTTGAATACTGTATTGGCAGAGCATGCTAAAATCCAGTCAAGATAAAAAATCAAAATCTAAATATTCTTTTGAATAGTACAAATGTAAAGATGTAGGTGTAGTTATATGCAGATGCTTCATTTCACAGACTTGTGAGTTGCTAGTCAGTGCGACCAGGATTTGTTTGTTCTTAAAAGTTGAGAGTTTAGAGAAGCCACTAAACTCGCTGATATATGGTCATTTTTCTGACGTTATTGTTGACTCAGTATTAACAAACATATAACATTATTGAAGGGTTTTCCTTTCTACTTGATGATTGGTCGAGAAAATATTGGCGCAATAAGTTTGAAATGATTTTTGACCCAGAGTGTGATGGCCAACAGTAGTGGGGTACGGCTGCTAAACACAACTGTATAAAATTGTCTAACCAATTCAGAGTTTTGTTTAAAATGTAACTCTGTGCTGAGGTAGGATTTACATCTAATTATTTAGGGGTTTTATCATTGTTGCCCCATATATGGCTTCTATTTTTCTAACCACCTAGAAATTAAGATGAGATACTGGGATTTGTAGGATCGTACTTTGTGAAACATCATCACAAATTCCTGAAGAAAATATACTTCGGTATATATGTATAAAACAGTTTTTTGGGTGTTTTGTCATCTTTTCGAATAAAAAAGGGAAAATTATGTGGTAACTTATGACCATATTGCCTCTGTTATTTCATATTTCAGCTTTATTCAACTTTTGATCTACATTAAAATATTGTATCCATATTTGCTCCTATTGAGCAGAACTGAATGTGTACCTAGGACTTCAGCATTATATTATATCAAAGAGAAGGAAATAATCTGATTTTGACAATTTTATATGTATGAAGACTGTCATTGCAATTATTCAGTAGATATGTCATCGTCCATTTTGTTTTTGATCAAAATGTGTGTCCGGATTCTTTAAGCGTTGAAAGAAACGTCATCATCTGTTTTGATACTTTATACTGTATCAACTTCAGTATTTTGCTAAGATTCATATTATGATAACAATTCATTTAATTAATAGTCTTCAGACCATACCATGGAGATTTCGTTAAAATTATAAATCTTCCACCTATCACTGTGCCACCTACATTTGTTACACTATATAGGAAATCTTTTCTTAAAAGTGGGCCTCATCCCAGGGACACTTGAAAAATTTGAAAATCCGTGAATAAAATAGGTACAAAAGTTAGCGTTGTTATGGAAAATAAAGGAAAGCTAATAGTATTATGACACGTGACAAAATAAAGACAATAAAAATCAAAGATATTTGGATTTTTAAAGAAAAAAATTGACAAAACTGGTGAAGTCACTAAGGAATATAATAACAAAATGGTATATGTACCAGTTCCTTTGGGTCACACATTTTATCTATAGTGAATAAATAAGAAAATCTTAAATAGAACTCGAAATAAGACCTTTTTCATTTTTACTATATCAACATCTCCATGGTATATATCTCTAGACTGTTGGCCAGATTATTTGATTATGTATTTATGATTATGTGCTGTATTTGTAGTATGTTTGACCAGGGCGGCTCTATGCAGAAGAGAGCTATGGGCCAAGGCATGGGAGGAGGCTCCATGTTTGGTAAGAAACATGTTCATGCTTTGTTTTATAGTGTTTTTTATGTCACCACCACAAATGTTGACATATTGTTATAGTCTCAAACTTTTTGTGGACAGTTTCAGCATACGACACATAATGTATGGCAGGTGGTGACATTTTGCATTAATTAAGTAAAAATTCACATTTGCCATTTCAAGCATTGGTCACAGCTTCTTATATCAGAGGAGTCACCTTTTTTCACCATGTGGGTTAACTAAACTATTCTGAATGTTAATACTGTTTATATAGTTGATTGTTGGCAATATTGTCACTAAGAGGTTGAAAATCCAAATATTTCGCAGAGTACACGTTTACTGGAGTTTATGGATATTTTGTAGCACTGTATATTGGAGCAGTCGTATATATTATATATATCCACATTTACGTATTAAAGCTAAAAGATTGTGTCCCTTTATCTCCCAGGAGGCTTTGATGACCCATATGGACCCATAGGTGGCCAAGAAACATCCACAGGAGGGGGTGGAGCATCAGCTGGGGGAGATAACTTTAAGTCAGACCGTGAGAAATTACTCGAACAAGAACTTGCTTTGGAGAAGCAAAAACGACAACTTTTAGAAGAGCGGAGGGAATTAGAAGAGCGAGAGAAGGCAATCGCACAAATGTCAAGTCCTGGAAGGGGTAGAGGCATGCTTGGAATGATGGATCAGTCCCCAAGGGGTGTAGGGATGATGGCACAGGGTGGAATGGGAGGCGGAAATATGGGAATGGGGGGAGATGATATGGGCATGGGAGGAGGTAATATGGGAATGGGAGGGGGTAATATGGGAATGGGAGGTGGTAATATGGGAATGGGAGGAGGCAATATGGGTATGGGAGGAGGTAACATGGGGATGGGAGGAGGTAATATGGGTATGGGAGGAGGTAATATGGGCATGGGAGGTGGTAATATGGGTCGTGGTGGTATGGGAGGAGGTCCAATGGGTCGTGGTGGCATGGGAGGAGGTCCAATGGGTCGTGGTGGTATGGGTCGAGGTGGAATGGGAGGAGGTCCAATGGGTCGTGGAGGCATGGGAGGCGGTCCAATGGGTCGTGGTGGCCCAATGGGTCGTGGGGGTCCAAATGGTCGTGGTGGAATGGGAGGTGGTCCCATGGGTCGTGGTGGTATGGGAATGGGTCCTATGGGTAGGGGAATGGGAAATGGTAATGAAGGTCCTAAGAAACCCCCTATGACCGCAGAGACAACATTCTCTGGCCCTACAAAGATCTTGATGTCACTCATGAACAAGGGATTGATCCCAACCCGCGAACAGGTAATATGAGATGTATTTTCTACAAATATTCTTTAACTGGTAATGTTTCAGATAGCAAAAATATAAGTACAGTATTACAATTCCTTGTCCACTTAAGTCGTTACATATATGATTTTAGACAATTTTGATATTCCATTTTCAGAAATAAACACTTGATTAGGGCTTTTAATCGCTAAAAACCTGAGCAAGAGTTGTGAGTTTTCTCACCATTATGATAATCTAAACAGGTTCTTTATGTTATAAATGTTTTCCATAAAGAATAAATGAATATAACATACACATTATTTTGTTAATCAGGGTACTCTCAGCTTCCCCACGCCAGTAGGTGCCAGGATTAGCAAGGTTCGTGACGAGATGCTTCAGATGCTTGATAATGTAGAAGTCCCAGAATCTTTATTTGACCGTCTCGCTGGTTGCTGTAATAAAAATGAGCTGCAGTTTACAGTCAGATACCACCCGCCCAAAGATGATCCTAAACATAAAGGGCAGAAACTTTACTGCGTGCAGATTTATATTGGAGGGGTACGTTTTTTCTCTGAATAAGAGATAGTTCATGTAGACTAGTTTGATCTTGTACTACATATAAGTCTTGGTTACTTTTTAAGTTTCTAGAACATTTGATACAGGATGATACATAGTACTAATAAATAATTTTACTTTGTAAAATTCTTGCTGTATTCTACTAACACTGCATTTATGATCAAAATTCTGAATATGAATCTCAGCTCGAGCTTTAATCGTTTTCAATCATAAGTATTTAGACTACTCACAATGTAATGGGTTTCCATGTATTCAATCTGTTTTAGATTCATATCTCAACCTTAGAGCATATCACAAAGCAAGATGCTCTTAAAAAAGCCATCTCCAAGGCACTGTACACTCTGCGGGTCCGTAAAATAAGTGATGTTCTGAACAATGTCAAGATCAAGCAGCACTGGAGAGTCGACTGGGAGGAGTATGACCACTACGAATTTGGAGAAGTCATCAATAAGACTACTGTACATGTGCCACTTACAAAACGAGAGAAAATGTTTGAGGTATGTACTTGAAGTATACCATTGGAAAGTTGGACTTACACGTGCCTTCATGCTGAACTTAATTTCTTGCCTATTCTATAATTAGATATTATCCTAAAAACGAATTCCTTATAATAAAATTAGAAGTGGACTTAATGTGCACCTCTCTGTAAAAGTGGCAAGCTACATCGATTCTCAACATTGACAGCTATCAAGGTGCTTGAAATTATGATATATATATACATTTGTATTTGAAGGGACTTGTTATTATGGAGACTCTAAATACTGCCACCAAAAACCGTCTAGCGGATGTGAAGCAAACAGCCATATTCAGCAACCTACGCCTGGAAGTTGTTATCAAATACGCTCTTGGATATTTTAAGTATGTTCCCATTTTTATATAAATCTGAGTATTTGATAATGAGAATAATAAAAAATGTAGATGTTGTATTGATGTTCCATTTTCCTTGATTTTCCATGTTTTAAATTGAGGACTTCATTCTGAAAATCAATACTATAAATTGACACCCTTTAACTGTACTAAGAGTCTGAAACGGAGTTGATAATGCTAAGTAGGTATGAATTACACCTACACCTAGTAGTACTGCATTGTCAAAGATTACATAAATTGTCCACTTTAAATGCGTTTTTAAATGTTACCTAAATATTACTTTCACACATAAATCGGGATACTAGAAATGTCCCCTCTTAATGCCTTTGAAATATTTCCCAAATGTTCTTTCACATTTTCTGCTATTTGTATGCTTATAGGCAGAGTATTTACATCAACTCAAAGCCAGTATGGAATGAAGTGGGTGAATGTCTTGATGAAGTGGAACTTGCAGGACCTAATAATCTTCTACAGTACTGGAAGCTTCAACACCCCTGCCTCCAGGTAAATGCATCAATTTTCACAGGTTACATTTTTAAGTGCAGTGAATCTATAAAGAATGTCAACTATTTCCTCAATTAAAAGGATTGCCTGACTTTAGTCCCGTACTCAATTGTATAATTAGGCCATTTTGCCAGTGTATTCTAGTACTCCAATATAATTTGATCCAGTAGATTTATTTCTAGATTTTACTTTTGACAAACTAATTGTTTTCTGAATTTGATTGATATTGCAGTATAATTTGCCGATATGTGCTTACGCTTATGTACCAGAGCCAGTTAGCTTAAATTTGTCAGTACTTAGTCCGAAATCAAAATTGACCAGTGGATTTTTATCATCAATACAAACCATTTTACCATGAACCATATTAAGTATACTTCAAATCAAAATGGAATTGTTAAAGATGAATTATTTTGTCATATTTCCAGATCAAGGGGAACGTAAAGAACCCGAAGGAGGCTGATGCCAGAGAAAAGAGACACAAATTGAACAAGGAAGACTTTGTTATGGATACTGAAGCAACATTTGAATTGAATGATGACAACAAACAAGAAATACTTGCAAGACTAGAAGATTTGAAAGTAAGTTAAATAAATCAAACTTTGAACATTGCGCGTCTCAAATGAACATTTTGAGAAAAGATTCAGTTTATCTTGAAATTGTTGAAAGCTTTAATAGTGGGATATTTTTAACCCTTATAATACCGTATATGGCACATTTATATGGAGACCCACTCTTAACAATCACACATATTTTGCTTCTATACACACATATTTTGTTTTAAGAAACTGCTTTTTAAGATGTTGCAAAATATGAACAATTTGTACTTTTCAGCAATCCACTGAATACAAAGAAATAGAGCTGATTGGTTTCACTGTACCAGAGCTGACATCTATTGGGGATTTTGTTAGAACAAATCCACCGCTTGTGATGCACACAAGAAAAACTGCTACAACTCCTGCAGAAAACTATGGTGTCATCTCGTTTGGGTCCAATCGTGAACACATCATTACTACTCTCCTTAAAGGAGGTAAGAATTACATAACATGGAAAAAACTCCAGTTTATAGCATGAACCAATAAATAATGTTTTTCTTTTGAATATATAATTTTATACAAATAAATAACTGTTGAATTTGTTTCTTAAAATATGATATTAAATAAAATGATACTCTTAGTATGTGAGGCTCCATACAAATTAAGTCCTCATCTATGCATTATAAAATTTTGCATTCTTCATGTACTTCTACCATTTTCCTTGTAAATATGGAGAATGGCATATTTTCTCCATCTATAGAGGACACTGGGAAGATCTCTCCATTAATCAGATAGTTCTTCAACTTTCTTTGTACATGTATTACAGATCCTAACAAGATATACAGTGACAAGTACAGCATCTTGCATCCTTCTCTGGAAAAGACTGGAAAGATCTGCAAGAAGGTTGAGAAGATTTCATCCGAAAAGTTTCAGCCAAAGAAGACTGAGGAGGCAGCCACAGATAATACGCACTATACAGGTATGTAGGGGTGAGACGAGTCGAAAAATGACGATTCGAGTTTCGAATCCGTTTCGAGTCAGATAAAGTGCGAACAACATCGCTTTTGACCGTTCGTATTTTTAATGCGTCAATGGTGGAAAGCCGGAAATATAAACAAACACAATTCGTCGTAAGTTTATTCTGATTTTATTACATATATTCTTTCCTTTATGTGTACATACAATATAATAATTTAATACAAGCATATCCAAGTCATTGAAACTTATATATTCAACGCAATATCGAGTAAAAACATGCATATTGACAGTATTTTTCTGAATTTTTTTATTTTTTCGAATTTTTTTCTCAACTCGAAAATGATTCGATTCATCAACTTCGACTCGACTCGAAGCCCCAAACCCGCGAGTCCTCGACTCATCTGGTTGTCGTCTCACCCCTACAGGTATGATACTACCATTTAAAAGAGTTTGATATATCATTTATGATAAATCTTTCAACTTGCAAGTCATCATGTGGTGTAAGGATTTTCATTCTACTGTTCAAAACTTGATTTAAGACCAGTTATGTCATTATGAACCAGAAGTGGCAACATATTGTTATATTCTCCAACTTTTTTTGTGGATGATGTTTGGCGTTCAGAGTTTGGCATCTGTAACAATTTGTGTTCTGCGTCTAACAATTTGCAGTAACTTACAAAGTGGTGACATTTTGTCATGTCAGTGCCTTGTTTTTTCTATACATGATGAAATTATCAGGTGGTAAAATTGATTGACCATTGTCCTACAGGTCAGTGCATAATGCTCCACCTTATTGGCTTGTATCGCTTTTTCCGTAAACCTGTTGTGGAACACCTCCGTGCGTGGAACCTTAAAATAAGAATGCCTCCAAAGTGTAACACTATAAACTACTTTCAGATGCCAAAGGTTTTCACTAACACAAGTTTAACTGTGATTTATTCAGAGAGGAAAATAATGGTCTGTCCAAGATTAGAAAAAATGGTGATATGCCCATCCCAATTCAGAAAATAAGATGCCACCCTGGGTAATCTCTATTTAAAATGCATTCAGTCAAATGAGTGTAATACATTACATTGTACTGCGGTATTTCAATCAAAATTTGGTCTAGATTAATGCATCCTGTGGGGAGAAAAATCTGAAGAGATCACTTAAAAATGTCACCACCACAAGTGGAGAGATATTTTTATGGTCTACCAACTTTTTGTGACGGCAACAGGCAATTGGCATTGAGTGTCTATAACAAATGGCAAGTGGTGATATTTTTCATGTTAATGCCTTGCATTCAATTGAAGTATTTGTTAGCATTAAGTGTATTTTTATTTTCATTGTATATAGGTGAGCTTATCCTGCTGAAGATGAAAGGTGAGGATGAGTCCCGCGATTCCACAACTATTCTAGAACGTTCCCTCAACCGCACACCAATGGTCCTGACATATTCCTCACTTAACATGAACTTTGAGCGCAAACCAGATGAATATGTGTAAGTTTTCTGCCAACCAACATCAAATTATTATTTGGGGTCCAGTGTTTTCTGAAATTGTACTTTCAGTTTTTCTTTTTTTCCTTCTACATCTTTTGTTATACAATTATATGACCATATTACTGAATTGTAAATACTACCTATAATGCTACTTTGTGATTGTGTACCTCATGTATGATTTCTACTTTATTCATAATTAATGTCAATAAAATCTTAAGATAAAAAAAATTATCAAAAGTAAAAGGATATTCGTGTGTAGAATCCAAGAGATTACTAATCGCTAAAGCTATAGTAGCATGTGCTACACCCAATTGATATCAGGATTTTACTACATGTATGTAAAAGAGGTGTAGCACAAAACATTTGAATATTTGAACACACTATTCAGTGGACTCCCTTTATTAAGAACAACTGGGTAGTGCATCTTATTGAAAATCTGATATGCTATCCTGTTGAGATTTTGAAAATGACATATTACCATCCTGTTAAAAATCTTAAATTGATGTGCCACCCTGATCTCACCCAATCTGCAGCCTTCCAAAAAGATGAAACATCCTGAATTATTGTCTGAAACTAGTAATTAGGATTTACCACGATGTTAAATGTTCAGAAAAAAGTCCAGGGGAGGTCCATACTACTTGTTAAAGGAACACAGCGTATTTTCAGCATTTTTTGGCAAAATGAAGTCTTTGTTTTGATCTTCATAGTATTTCCAATGGATTGATAAGTTCTTGATCTTTCATTAGACCAAAAACAGCTCAAACAGACCACACCAGGATTTACGATAAATTATTTAAAAAATATTCTTCAAAAATATGCATATTGCCTGTTTAACTAATTTGAGATGTTCTACTTCCTATTACAGGACACAAGTAATGATAGATGATACAATAATAGCGTATGTTATTTCTACCAACCTGAAGGATTCCAAGATTGGTGCTAAAAGAAAGGCTCTTCAGAACCTTCAGAAAATATGCTACACATTAACGGTAAGTAACCCTTTATAAGAGTTTGACTTTCGTCTCACTCTAAGTTAGAGATGATTATTTGATGTTGGCTATAGATCAATCAAAACATGTACATGTGTATACTTCTTTTCTATGTTAAGTATGTAACATTTATTTTAGTTCATATTAGATACACTTGAGATTCATTAAAATTTTAAGTGTATCATACTTGTCTAAAACAAAGAATCAAAGAGCGTATGTAGAGTAGTCTCGCAGTGAAGAATTTTATCGCATCTTTTTGTTTACCATATTGAGCTTTACAAATTAAGATTCTTAAAGCAAGCCAGCCTCCTCAATCATTGAATATGTTGAGTGGACTATTTTCTTGGAAGTTGTGTATGATGTTTCAGAAGCGCAAACCATTGGAAGACTTCAGTGCTGAGGAACTCGCTCAGATGACCAAACCAAAAGGAGTCACATTGACTGAAATATACGGACGTCAACTCCAAAGCAAGAATGCGGCGTTGAGAGTCTTCACCCCAGTAGCGAAGCGTATGATTGGTAGATTGTTGAGTACTCTAACACATACATCAGATGAATTGTTTTTCACCAATGAGCTGAACGAAAAGGAAATCGCAGAGATCGAAGCTCTTGCTGAAGGGGCTGGTTGTGTTCTTAAGAAACATGAAACAAAGAAGGATGATGAAACTCTCACATTCATCTGGGTAGAAAGGAAATCCTCGCTTCGGGATATTCTCAATGAGATGATCGACAAGCAGAAAAGTGGCTTTGCCAGCGAAAGGTTCAGCATCCAAGAACCATCCCTTAATATTGCTCTTGTCGAGGGTACAACAAGAGTTAACTTAATTGACACTTACAAAGTAGACAAGTTTGACGAACACAGTGTACGTACCCCTGGTGAGCCAATTAAACCATCTGATGTTATCTTGAAGACGAGAGAAAGGACAGGGAATCAGAGTATGATGCCAAGATCCAACAACATTCTCAATGCCAGCGCCAGGGCCTGTAAATACAATGTCTGTTATGAGCTCAATGAAGCTCTATTCCTTAGCGGCCCAGTGTATCTGTAAGTTTACCTCAGTTTAACTCATGTTTTCATGACTACCTTCGTATTGGTGTTTGGAATTGATCGTTCTTTCCAGTTTTGACTTTTGGATTGATCATTCTCTCCAGTTTTGACTTTGGGATTGATCATTCTCTCCAGTTTTGACTTCTCATCTCATTGTACTTAATTTTTTCTATTTTTACCCTCCCTGTCAAATTTATATTTTCATTAATTTTAAATATTGCATATTCATTAATCACCAAATTGTAAAATTATTGATTATCGGCTAGTTAACTAGCTTGTGTATAATGCCTTGATTTATCCCTCTTATTTTTAGTTTGAAGTTAAATTATTTCAGAGTACAATGCTATGCATAAGAAATAGCAAATGGATGATCAATCATACAATATTATTTTCAGGATGGACTTGACAATTGAGGGGAAGCCTATGAAGGATCAGGGACGTGGCCTATCGAAGAATGACGCAAGACTACACGCAGCTGCTATAGCTCTAGAGGAAATTAGGAAGACATCTTATAATATTGTAAGTAATTTAACACTTGAGAATGAAACAAAATGAATAAACAGAAAACAGTTGGTAATTTGTGTGGCGTTGACATATTGTTATAGTCTCCTCACTTTTTGTGGATTGTGTTTGACATTGGGTGGTTGGTGTATGACTGTTTGTGTTCGGGATTCCATGTCTGTAACATTTTCTTACAACGTCCAATGACTTAACAAGTGCTGTTTAGACTGACAAATTTTTACTGCCAAAATATACATATACATGTTATGAATTCCAATTCATTTCTGCCAATATGAAGTGTGATAGCTATTAACCTACTGTAATTATGCGAAACATACAGAAAAAGTTCTCACATTCCAAGAAGCTGTCAACTCATTCATCCATTTCTCTGTGAATGTGTTTTGTTTGATGGGATATGGTACTTTCTAGTAATGAGATGTTATTCTTTGGAAACATTTCAGATGCGGGTGACATTAGAAAACCCATTCAGCCCAGAACGCATCAACGACCCCTTGCACAGTATTGAACTTATCAAAGTAGTGAGTCTGTTCGGCAGTGAAACTTCAGAAAAGCGTCTCAAAAAAGAATTCGATATGGCTAAAGAGCAGTTGGCCACATTCTTCGCTAGTCGAACCACCATTGAGTGGTTGTGTGACCCAGCATTCTCAAAAGATGAGCAACAGATGATCATCGAAGTTGCCAAAGAACTTGACCTAAATGTCAACTTAAAAGAACACGTCTTTAAAGAGGATAGCAAGTCAACAGAAAAGGTGTTGGTCATTCAAAAGAAAATGAATGTCTATGAACTTCTGGCATATTTGAAGAAAAACAAACATTCGGGATATGTCCTCAAAGAACCAGGCTCCGAACTTGAGATGAAGGGCGGCAGGTATAAGGTGTAAGAATTCTCAAAATAGGCGAATAAAAAAGAATGAAAAATGAAGGAAAGTAAATGTGATGGAATGAGAGAGAAATGCAAGATACTCTGTAGGAGAAATCCGAACAATCCGTTCCATTTAAAGTGAAAAATTTAGAGGAATACTTAGCACGTGAATCATGGTTAGGTATGTTTCAATGAACAGCTTCGTTTTGACTCATTTTTGAAATCATGTTTTTGACAAGCAGAAGTTAATTGTATGACGTATGTTCATGTGTTTTCTGGAGTTAATAAACCATTTGGTTTAATTTTTTGTTTAAAAATCAATACACAGATGAATTGATTTCAGTTTTGGGAGAAATTCTCTTTTTGTTATATTTAGGTGAATTATAAACAATTGGATGGGAATTATGAATAATCCAATGTGAATTATGAACAATCAGATTTGAATCATGAACAATCTGATGTATTTGTAAATAGAATCAGCGTATCATATAGCATAGTCTTTGTTACACAAGTGACATGACCCTATTTGTTATATTAAGGTAAATATGAATAAATGGATGTTCATGTATGTATAAACAGCACCAGTGTTTGTAAAAGTTGGTGTATCATAGCACTTGCTACACAAGGTATTGTGCATTATTTAGCTATATTTTGAATTTTTCTGTAAGAACATGTACTTGGTCATTAACTGAACTTGTATTCGTGTGTTTTCCATGTATTGTCCCTGCACTTTGCTCTTGGGGATTTCAAATAAATACCCGAGGAAAAGTATATGTGAAAATAGTGAGGATTCTCCACATTACGTACAAACTACAAAATTAGTAACTGAAAGTTTCACTCTACAAAATAGTAAGATTGCACTCTCCGTGTAAAATACCGATGAATTATGAAAATAATATGGGCAGTGCTTGTCTAAATTAGTTGTAAAATTTGGACCAGTATTGCATAAGGGTGAACTCTGATATGTGTGTTTTTATTGTACGAACCTTTGTAAGTGGTACTTATACATAGGAGAATTTTATTCCATGGAGGAATTTAATAGGTAAAAATACTAAAAATAATATTTGGTGTTTTATTACTTGTACTTAGAGTAGTTACAGCACACAATTTTGTGTGAAGATAAACAAAATGTTTTTTTTTTATTTCACTTTAAGTGTATCGTAACCAGGGTTATTTTGACACTACTTAATTTGGTCAATTTGCTACTTATTGACAGTCTTACAAAATGGTGGATTTAAGATGTAAACTCTTGAATATTTGCACATTCTAATTGGTTGATGGTCCATTGATATACACCCTCTACAGGGTTCCCAAAGAAGGTCCTAATCCTTCTAAACTAGTTAAGAAGATTTCTTTTCTTGATATTGAAATGAGCAATAAAATATTTAAGAAGTTTTTTCTTGATCCTGAAATGAAGCAATATGTTTACAGTAGTTCTAACTGGTTACAGTACATTAAGGTGGCTGTGGGAAAATGACTTAATACGATCCTATTATGTATAAGGTTCAGATTACTCATTCCACTAGGCATGCCTTTAGAGACTCCAAGGAACAAAACAGCTCAATTTTATTTTCTCATTGATCATCAAAAATAACATGGTCAAATGTGTATCTGAAATTCCTGAGTGAAGATGTACTCATTTTTGTGACCTTGGAGTCTCTCATTTATTGCCCCATTATCTTTGGGGGTAGCTTCTAATTTCATATTGCCTTGCACATTAAATGTATAGTTAAAGATTTGACATTGACTATAAGATGTGTATTTCAAACAAGCGAGTCTGTGTGTATTTCAAATAAGTGAGCTTCAGTTGTTTGGGATGAATAGAGTTTGCATTGGCTAGAGATTCTATTGAACCATAAAAATTTAAATTTAAATCTCACTTTTCTTCATTGAAAAAGTCCAAGTAAGCTTACACTGTTTTCCTCAAGACAGTCCAAAAGTGAATTTAACTTTTTTCTAAATATGTATGTGTAGTCGTTCCCCATCATTATTTTGAGAGAAGTTTTTGAGAGAACTTGAATATGGGGAATAACAGTCCTCTGGGGATCCGTTCTCTTTGTATTTTCTTGCCTGATTGAGTATTAAGGTTTTAAGGAAAATGTGACACTTTACTTCCCTGTTATATGTTGAAATTGTTTCTTTAAAAAGCATGTGCTAATTCTAAATCTGGACATGTCAAGTAAAAGTACCAGTAAAGTAGTGCTGAATGTGTCTTACCAGGGAGAGGAGAGAATTGCAGATAAATATACATTTCATCCTTAAGCTTGGTTATTGCAGTGAAAAGTAAAACTGAGCTCTGCCTTAAACATAATATATTTTTAGTAATGGTAGTTAAGGAGTTTTCTGACAGTGGACAAAATACCATGTTTCAAATCAAGTATTTTTCAGTGGTATTTCACTTGTAATTTTGTAATCATTAGATGTTGAAAAATGTCTACTGCATTCAATGTGGAGGGAGAGATTATGTATTTCTAGCTCAAGTGATAAAATGTATGTTTAGTAGGTATACTAGCAAGCAATGCAATATGTACAAAATGAACATAAGAAATAAACTTTTTATATTTGATGTCAATATATTAAATTTATGTCTTCACATAATAATACACACAATTTTCATAAGACAACAAAACATAAATAGGTATAAATCATACAATAAACCCAATATAACATACTGAATCCATAAGTTAGAATCTGGGCTCCTTTCTCCCAAGTGACCATGGATATTTATAAACTGAAGGCTCCATGACAGAATATCATAAATAAAAATTGAACTGTATGCAGTTTTATTCAGTTTTATAATGTGAACTTCACATCATTTTGTACCTTAATTCGTCATGAAACCTTGAACTCTGTTGAACTGCTTAATAAATAAATTACAAAACATGATTGCAGACTTCTCCAGTCGCTATGACAACCATGACAACTATCTACATAAACTAAAGCTAAACTAAATGACAAGCTAAAGAAGATAACTGTACATAAATATGTCAAAAATGTGATTAGCTAATGTAAGGAAATTGTGAAAAAAATAATTGTTGCAGAATAAAATTGCAGGCTTGGTCATAAATCAGTGAATCATCGTTCCTGGTCTGATCACATGATCAATGACTGACATCGCCCTCTATTGTCTATATATTATACCTTTCTATTGAGCCTCGCTATCTAATACTTTTATAATCAAACTTGCTGAATTTCTCCATGTTAAAATGTCATTCTGGTTTTCCTTATTCCATGTCATTTCTCTAGTATTCCACCAAATTCCTCAATATTTTGCATTTTATACCACAATGGCATTTTCTACATGGATTTCTTATTATTTCACTGCCATCAAGAATAAGGCACGCTACATGTTATAACCTGAGGTGATTTCTGTACATTCATTAATTACACTAAGAAGGTCAATACCCATAATTCAACAGATCTGATCATGTGACCTACTTGACAAATCACGCGTGAGAGACCACTGACATCCAAGGTGTATGTGACATTCATTTGAACCACCATTACCTTATTATACAAACATTTAATCAATAACTTACTTTTTACAATATTTATAGTGAAGTTCAAACATTTTGCAAAGAAAATACTTAAATGATAATTCCTTAAATTAAGGTGGTCCCAATCCAAACATTTAGCTATCTACCTTCTTATTCCATTTAAACTATATTATTTGCAAGATGTTTCAAACTTTTTAAAAATCTAACTACCTTTCTTGAACTTTTTGTCGAGAATATATTTACAACATTTGACCAGGGTCTTCAAGCCAGTTATTTATTGCTCAAGTTGTTGAGTAATCTCCTATCATATTAGAGAATGTCATCAATTAATAGTAAAAATATTTTGGAATAACTATTTCACCCATTGCAAGATTTATAAATATACAAAAGTACACAAAATGAATCACTTTTAATATCATTCAGATTAAATAGATAACATTTATTTTACATTAATTAATAAATAACTAAATCCTTAATTAGTCTTAATTATTCTGGAAAACTCCTTGAAATATGAATAATATTCAACATCATAAAAACAATCGATATAAAATATTAATGAACCAAACAAGAAAGGAGATGTCAATCAATACATTACCATGGCAACTAGATGACCATTTGGTCCAATTAAACGTCACAGAATTGATAAATGAATTGTGCGGCAATGATTAGAAACCTTTATCTCCGTGACTCAGTGATGACTCGTAGGGCCATCTCTTGCATATGTGCAATTTTATGCATGAAACGCGCATTGTCGTCCAATATCTAATTAAAGAAAACAATGACTAATAAAGTAATAATATTGTACACAATATGGCTTTGTGTTCTAATTCTACAGCATCAAGTAATCCTATCATATATCTATCATCAATTTTGTGATTGCATTGAACTCCTTGCTCATCATATTGTGGTCATAAGTTAATTTGTTGCACAAAAATGTCATAATATTAATGTATATTAATACAATATAGGAATGACCATTCTGCCAAAATGATTAAATAAACAAGAGTTCATTTTACATGTACTTTAGTTATGTTGTCTAGGTGCAAGTGCTTTGTGCATATTTAGATTTCAAAACCCATCAAAACTTGAATATTTGAAAATAATTGAAAAAAGTTTTCAAATTAGTAAACTGCTGCAAAGCGCATCCTTCAGTAAGCAGTAAAGCATTCATGTTTGTATTGCACGCTATGTATCATTTTAAAGTTGATAACAATCACCACCATTCATATCTCGATAATCAAAAAAATTTCTTACATAACTGCACATACATAAATCAAAGGGTTCAAACAACCTAAGATTTTAAGTAATAAGCAAATTCATACCATACGAAAGCATCCAATATATGATAAACTCAGGCAACTAAATCTAAATACATGTAATACATGAGTCAAAATATTTCAACAAAGATAATTTACAGAGTACGTCGATACATGGATCATTGTCTAAGATTGCACTGTGTGTTTCTGATACTGCTACTATATTATGGACTTCAGACACCTCTAAAGGCATTCCTTGATATTTTCTCCCTATAGTAGTATCAGATCGGTTCATAAGTATTTCTACAATATGAATGTTTGTCAATTCTGTCATCATTCTGACTAGATAATCAGCATAACATTTTTAGTACATAGTACCATATTTACAAGGTACCATTGTTACCATGGCTACAAGTAACTATGGTTACATGGCAATTTTTTTTCATGTACAAGAAGTCTGCATTTCCCAAGTACCATATAATGAATTGCACCTCATTTTAATGACAATGACAAATTCAATTCAATATACTTTTATGTTATGGGCCATAAAATGCAATGACTTATCGCAGAGCATAAAGTGTCATATATACAAATGTTGACACTTGTTTCGAGCCCCCATGTGATTGGCTTATGTACAAATGATAATACATTCATTCAACATTATATATTTTTAGTCCAGCCATGTTTAAGATGCCATCTTAACATAACGATTTAAAAATTCATTCATTTCATTTTTCCATCATGGTATGCTGTTTACTATACTTCATATAATAATTCAACATTTCCCACTAACAAAATATAACCACATGTGACATTTTACCCATGCCTGGTCTATGATTTGGCCAAATATTATTCAAAAATATTTCATCAATTTTCTTAATTTGTAATTTATACATTCATTTTGAGGTATTTTTCACTGACAATTCCTAGAGGAACATGTTGAATCCCAAACGCCCCACTCATAATTATAATCACATGACTTGTGATTGACCAATCAAATTTGAGAGATCAAAGGGTAGCTTATGCCTGATGGGATTGTGAAGTTACCTCCTGTGTATAATTTTGTTCAGGTGTGTATGATTGAGATATATTGAGATCCTGAGAATAATGTTAACCCCTGTTGACCCAAGTCTCTTTAATGCCATCGTCTGTAGGCCAGCTATATAAGGGTTAAGAAACCTCTATCAGCTCAAGGCTGCTGTGTAGAGACTTGTGACTCCCGCTGGATGATATACTACTATCTGATTGGTGGGGGTCAGTGCCGCATCGACATTTCATTGAGTCGAGATTTCCACCTTTACCTGACTGCTTCATGAATATATCTGCTGAACGTTTGGATTTTAATGAGTTTCCAATAGCACGATGACAACAGCATGTCGATGTATGTACATCTTGTAAATGGTCAGCATCGTGTATCAGAATGTCTTCCAAACTACGTGATTTTCTGCCCTCCTCCAGCGAGCTACGTTTCACGGAGATACAGGGAAGTTCCTCCCCGCCTAGATTTGGTTTTGGTCTCATTTGTACTGGAAGCATCTCTTCTTCCTGAGATGCCTCAGAATTTGCATTGTCTAAATGTGTTGTTGTTGTTGATGTAGTTGTTGTGGTCTCCATGGAGACCGCATTATTGTTTGTTGTGATATTGCCCTGAGTTGCTATGGTAGCACTGTCGCTTGTTGTGCATGCACCCATCAATCCAAACTTATCCTTCTTTTTGTTGTTATTGTCCGAGTTCAAGTCAAAATGTGGATATGTCGAGAATGCAATGCTGTTTGGCCTCACGAGGCGTTTTGGACGAAGATCTTTCGGTCGCATTAAAACATTATCCTGATGCATTGTGGATGTGCTAGCAGAGGCGCACACCTCTTTGATTTGTCCAAGTGCAGATCCGTCACATTTTTTTCCCGTTTCAAGTACACTAGTACTCAGTGGACGTTTCGTTCCACCAGTTTTACTCCTAAATGCCAAGCCCAGATCCTCTTTTGCAAAACATGGAGTAAAGTTAAGTTTATCCAGTGACGTTGTTGGAAAGTTAATCACGGGAATAGAACTAGCTTCTCGTGCGTGAAAGTCGGGACTCGGTTGGTTGAAATTCAATCGAGCCAGCTGCGTTGTCGGTGACTGTGCTCCTGCACTATCAACCTTCAATGAGTTCACTAAAAAATTCGGGAATTCCTTCTGAGTTGGTGTGCTTGGACTGCGCATGTCTGAGATACATTGACGCTTCAGAGTACTAGGATTTTCGTCATCTTCAGCCTGGCCACGTTCTGCTTTCAGCTGGTTTTCAAACTCAAGCAGCTGGCCCAGGAAGTTGAAGTTGGGTGATATTGTTGGTCGTTTGTCTTTAACATACCTGGAAATATTTATTTTAAAGTTAAAATAAAACTGTAAAAAATAAATAAAACATAGATTACTAATTATAGAAGATTTAGAAGTACCGTATCCTCAAAATGAATGAAGAAACAACAAAGGATCATAAAATATACAGTAGGGGTCATATTTCTAATATTCAAAATATTTCAAACAATTAATTAAAAAATGAAATTAGTTTTTAAATCTATTACGAAAACAGCGGGTATCTGTCTATTAACTGGAAATTTTTACATGGAGCATTAACAACTCATTAAAAATTCTATTAGATTGAATGCATTAAAAGAGAACAAAGGCGAGAATTACAAAACCGCTTAGTCAGGTACTATTAAAAATGATGCTGCAATGAGTCATTCCTGATACTACAAGGAGCCTCTTCAAATGTGGATTATATAGGTGATGTCATTGATTAAACAGTAAATTTTACACCTCTCCTTTAATTGTATGGAGTTACTATGCACCAGTGTTTTACAGGGCAATTTAGATTATATCTCTAAAATATGTTACTTTATGAAATATCCAGAAGTTTCTCAAATTAATTCGTTACAACTTTTATTATATCCCTGGATTTCATGATGATATTTTGATAAATGTGAGAGTAGATTATCAAATGGTTTAAAAGCTCACAGCTTAGCTTATTTTTCAACATGTTTCTCTATTAATTTCAATCAAAATGCCCGATTTAGTGTCTATTGCATATGTGTAATAATGCTATTCGTAAGTTATTTCACTCTTTCCACTCTATTTTGCATTTGAAAACATGACCATTAAGATTTTCCAAAAGACATATTGAATTACATGGTAGCAGCACTCACCTGTATGCCTCTTCTGAAGACAGTTTGAGGTGATACATTATGTATGCGATCGCTAGAGTGGCAGATCGTGAGATTCCAGCCAAACAGTGAATAAGCACACAGCCATTCGCATCTCGCACTTTATCTGAAAGTGAAAAAAAGTTATCATTTTAAGTATCTTAATTTATCTCTCTTTTTGGACATTATACATCTTGCAGTGACCGCCACCCCACCTATATGCCTCATCTCCACGAGAGGCCAAGCAGATTACGGGTCCAGGGACTAAACATCTTACAATGTATAATATAGTATGTTTAACTTAACCATAAAGCATATGACACATTTCATGTCATCATTCATGCCAACTTGGAAATCCCTTAATAGACAATATCCCAAACTGGTTGTAAAGTAGATGATTCATATGCCAAATGAATTATGTCTGATTATTATCTAACAATCAAAAGCTTCATTCAATAGTTTTAATAATACTGGCATTTCATAAGTTCTGGTATAATATACTGGACTCGTCTTCATCATAACCTGCATCTAATACATATACAGGTACATGTAAGTAATCCCCTCTTGTTTATATATCCTGTCCACATATCGCCTATTTTCTATACGTTCGTCTATTAGAATACAAATATAATGTATACTTTATATAGCAGGATGTCTTACCTAAGAAGTGGAATGCTTTCTTGAGATGCGGGATGAGCTTGTCGCTATAGTTGTCGTTAATTGGAATGCGGTAAAAATGGGCATCTTGTATGAATGCTGGTTTGGGACACGTGTTGCTTACATTCAGTATCCACGTAATATCATTCATCTGGAAATACATTAAGAAATTAATTTATTTTTTATTTATAGATCAAGAGCTTTTATATTTATTACAATGCAATATAACACTTGGGTCTAAAGAAAATGAAAAAATACAAAGAAAACACATATCATTTTACATCAATATTAAGTGAATTGTTTGTGTTCTGTAACTGTTGATACTTTTGTAGCATGGCTATCTCATGATGCCTATATCCAGGGTGGCAAGATTATCAGTCTGAGAGATATTTCAGGAATGAGTTTATGATATACTTGTATATATTACGATGACACATCTCAGGGGTATTACAGATTTTACATGACAGGTATACATAGGTAAAGTAAGCTTATCTGCCTGGGACTTCATCATCAAGATCAGATCTCTAGTTCTGTCTCTTAACTTCAAAATCTCAAATCTCAAAACAGTTGAGATGATCATCAATTCTATATGTTAAGTCCTATTTTTATCCATCATGATAAACCATGACTTCATTATTTTACTCTCAGCCAGTGAAACAAAAATAGTATAATAAGTATCAGAACAATTTCTTTCCTTTTTTGACTTAACATAATTTCTGTTGACTGTATAGAATTTCTAGTTCTTGTTCATTTTAATTTTATTGACAGGTAACCAAAAATAAACACATGATTCTTCACCTGAATACTGCTGAGGTATTTAATATGTGAACCAGTTATGACTCAACTCAAAAACAACGCACCAAAATTCCAAAAGATTTCATGGAGGTCAGATGAATTTTTCTCTGTTTCTTTCAAAAATTTGAATAAAGTGTCAGATTTTCTTGCACTTCGAAACAATTTAGGAATCCCGCTTCATTTCTGTTGGTTTATATCCTCTGTAAGTCCTTGGTCTTTCTTGCTATTTAGTAAGGAAATGTGTGACCACCCTGTTTTTTACTGAGAGGGCCTCTGGTGCAGTACTGGGTATGTTTCATAAATAATCCAAAATCTGAGATAAGTCAGCTGCAGGATAAAATAATCCGTTGGCGTGACGTAAAATGCAAAGTAAAGAGAAAGTCTGAGAAAACTGCAAGGAATAAAGTAAACAGATAGAGAATTGATTCTTAATAGATAGATGGATAGATTAAGGACTTTTACTGAGGAAATGAGCAGAATTTGAATGACCAAAATGATGGCTATATATACACCTCTCTCAAACAGTGCAGACCTGTAAAAAATTGGGAAATCAGTTTTACTGTAAACTTTTAGATCTTGTACCGTATTTCACATCATGATTCATTGATATTCCCATAGATTTTCTATAAAGAAAACAGGGAAACTGGAAACTGAAGCTCTAGGACTACAAATTACAAAAATAGCTGGTAAACCACAAGTTTGGCTAGCACAGTGGTTGGTCCTTGGGCTTCTGTTTCCAAACATTACCCTTGGTAAATATACACATAGACTATAAGTTACAAAGATGGGATATTTTTAAGTACAAGTTATTTCCTGGTGTTGGTTTCCTGGGTTACCCCAAAATACCCTAACTTTGTCTGTCATATAAGTAAATGGCTGCCTCTCCCACTTTAAGCATGTTTGTGTGTATCTGAGAGGAGTGAGGCAAAAGAAAGATGCAAAACATTACATTTAGCCAATTCCTGATTACCAGTGTTTGTTTTTGAAATTTTGGTTCTTCCCTTTCTTTGAAAAGTAGGAGGCCATGGGGGAGAAGGAAATATGGAACACTTTCATTGTCAAGGATACGAGCAATTAAAGCAATTAAGAAAATCCTGCAGCGTTAGCCAATGAGCATAACTTCTAGGAATGACTCACATTAAAATCTCTTGAAATCAAACATTTTCACCCAAACTTCCTTGTGAACTTGAGATAAAATAAAACCTGTTCTTTATTGTCATGATAATCATTACCTGTTCCACATTTCCTCTAATCTGATTGCTTGAATTTGTGGCAAGGAATTGTGGGAGATGGTATGCTCTGATATCAAATGAACTAGATCCTGGTCTTAACAATGTTCAAAATAATGACATCATGTCCCCATGTTTTCATGAAAAGAAGTTTTCATTTGTCCTTGAAATGTGTTGAACTGAATTTCTAAAAAAATCGATTTATTGATATCCAACTTGCCAAAAAACTACATTATCAAAATAGTTTAAAATAATAAAAATAAAATGTAATTTGAAATAGTTGGTAATTCAACATCTACCTACTTTTTGCAGTACTTTTCCCATTTTATACATTTTTCAGATTAACACCTTTCATTAAATAAAGCTTTTAATTATGACATCATAAAACAACAAATAAACAAGGTATTATATCAGCTGATTGGTCATCAATCGTACCCTATAAGGATACAGTAACTCATTACCCATACCACACAGGTAACTGCACTAACTAAAAGGATTCTTTCGCCAATGATTCAGCGATTGTGGTCGGTGTATCTAACACGAAAGACATCCATAAATCAAAAGATAATTCTATGAACATCTTAGAAACTAGAACACCAAAGAGTGTGTTGTAGAATAGGGGATTAATCTATTTACGACAAATCTATTTTGGGTGGTCTTCAAAAACAATTCATAAAATAACAATTCTCAACCAACCAACCGACCAACCAAACAAATCTATGACTTCATACTCATTATAATTAAATCCCTCGAGTAAAAATCTTTTTTGTTTATCAATTGTATTATCTACTGGCGGTACCGAGAGAGCGGGTGTGGATACATCAAGTGTGAAAAGAGTTACAAAATTAGAAGTGTGATTCAACACAACACAGCAGAGAATCACCTTGAATGTAGCACCGAACTAAACAATCTTTACAAGGATAATTCTAAGTTAGGCATGTCATGAGTTGTACTTCTTAAAATACATTATTTACTGGACCGAGGCCAGAGGGTATACCTTATATAAACATCAAAATAAATAGCACTCTTATGAATCATAGTCAATGACTTCAATGTTACATGACTTGATTATTTAACTACCTTTTTTCTTGTAAAAGCTTCAATGAAATAGTGCTGAATTTTCATGGAATTCAATTCTGCAAGTGACATGCATGTTTATATTTTAATCCTTACATAAGGATTCATGCATTTCCCTTCTGTGCATAAGTAAAGCCTCAGTCACATTTCCTCTCTCGGCAGCTGTAGTTTTGCAAAATTGATGTAGAAAATCTACATGGTAGGGCCTATTCCTATATGCATATTTCTCTCAATTTTGGGAAGCTACGGCCACCATTCAGTTGCCATAGATCAAATGTAACTGAGGTTTAAGGGAGACAATGTTGCTATCTTATGACATCACCACCAGGGTTCACCAAAATCTGAACAATAACAGAACACCACAACCAATAAATCAACAAAATGTAATAACATAAACCCAGACATTTATCAGAAGTCATTCCAGATGTCATATCCTCTATGAGGTCATGGCTAAAAGACAACAAGAGCATAGATGAGTAAAAGTATGAGTGTACAAAATGAAGCCACATAAAGGCCCATAAGGATGCAATCCAAGAAATAACACACCATGAGAACCATCAATTAAAATCCCAAACCAATGTCTGAAAGAGTTGTATAAGCAAAGGATCAACTAAATAGCGATATAGTTAACACTCTAAATTGTACAGATATGCAATAAAATCATATACTTCAGTCAAATATTAATGAGAGATGATGTCTTATATGAATGACGCAAGTTTTATTTAAAGTAGCCGGTAGCTTTGCCTTTTGAGGGTATGAAACCATCACACACCATGACTGTTGAGTGAGTCACATTTAAACAGATGGCTACTGTGGGAAAAGAAGAAAAAATTCCCTATTTAAGTTCTGTCCAAAGGTGAGTCATAGTTATCCCAGAGTTATCCTTATTTTGCTCACAGCACGTACATCTCCCATGAGCCTCAGTATCTTAAACAGCCAATAAGATTCTAGGAAAGTATAAATTAAGTTAAAGATTGTATGATATTGGTAATATTGCGCTACATTCTACCCTAAGTTTTTGCACAGATTTTTCAACATCTGGTTTTGCTAAGATATGGGGTAAATAAGGGGTAATTAATGTAATGAGGTTTCGTAGACCAGAGATCAGAATTCAGGATCAGAGTGACTCTCACCTCATACTGAAGAATTTTTTGTATTAAATTTTTGGCCATTGCAATGATGTGTTCAATGATAGATATGTTAATGTTAATTTCAATTGTCTCCTAAGAATAAAAATCAGATTGAATTTTTTTAATGATCTAAACATGGATATGTTCTAGTTTCACATTAGATATTAAGCCATGTGCAATGTCTATTCCCGAGGGGTAAGACTCCATACAATTGCACACGGAAATACATATATATATATTCTCACCTTGAATGGTTGATTAATTGACTTAAACTGCTATTCATAAAGATACATTATTTATTTATAAAACTGAAATAGCATCTTCTTATTTTGATTCTTATCATCATCAGACCACATTAGATTTGTTGAGCCTTTTAGTTCAATTGCAAATCAGAAATTGTTATTCAAAATATTATAAAACTAAAAAAATAAACTGCCTGAATTTTTTATATTTCTTTGTTATGTGGTACTCTTTTTTTGTAACTCACAAGATAACTGCACTGATGGGCATCCCACCTTGAAGAATTTTTTATGGCATTAGTCACCAATATGTGACGTTAACATCTTCATATTTCATCACAAAATATTCTCATAATGGCTTCATTAGATGACAAATTGCGGCTGATGAAGCCTTTCTGATACTGACTTTAATAACCATTGTTATAATGCTAGATAAACCAAATTAAACTTGCTAATTAAAATAAAATTAGAGATATTCCACAACAATGACTAACTGTGGTTTTCCCTTTGAACATTTCCATCTAACCAAAAAACTTCCTCTAAAATATTTTCCCAGCATTTTTTAAAACAATTAAAAATAGAAGTTTTGTTTCACATCATGGGTAATCTTTAGGATTTCCTTCTTCAAAACAAAAAATTGATATGCAATAATATGAATGCCTACTTCTGCGGGGTTAAGAAGCTTAAAAAGTGATGAAATGACTAATTCCCTCATTTCAGAGATTATTTTTTCCTGTGTCGTGTCACCGATGATGAGATGACTAATTCTTTGATTAGATTCACAAATTAAAGGAAGGTGTGAACGAATTGCAATAAATCTGGGAAAATCTCATGTAACTCTTGTGACACATTTCAAATATGCAAATATAATCCTGTAAATTCCATTTATATCTGCCGTTTTAAATCTTTCAAGAGAAAAACTGTATCTGATATGAGGCCTGTTTCAAAATGGGCTCACCTAATGCTTAATGAATTAAATTGTTCTTGATCTGTCAAGAATAAAGGAGGTTCCTCAATTCCACGATCCCCTTTCTGAAAGGAAAAATAATATTGTGAAACCCATACCTGAATATTGTCCTGATTAAGCGCGTCTACTTGTGAGCCTAGATAAAGGAATGGCAGAATCTTGGTTGGTCCGATATTGCTTACTGGCATGCATGGTTGAGACATTGAGGTCAGTGCATGTTTGGATGACGATTTACTCTCACATAACGAGGGATGCGTCGCCTGGAACTCTAAGAAGCCACCTGGAAAACATGAAAAGAAAACAATCATTAATAATAAAAGTTTATAATTATTTTGAATTTTATAATTTACTATAATAAATTTACCTAAATATTGTACAAACTACTTACAGAAAATAAATAAACAATAAAAAACATTTATTTATATATTATAACAATAGATACAATTGAATTTATCTACCTGACTGACAAACCATCATATCTTAATTCTCATTCATAAGCAATGATAAATCCAAATGTTCATAAGCTCTCCTATAATATGGTCTGATCTCACCAACCATTCGCACTACACTGACTGACAGACTGACTGAATGAATTAGTATCTTCTCCCATTGAGGCCTAGCTATAAAAACTTAAAACACTACTCTGTTTACGTTTGGCTATTTAAATATGACTCATAGCATTGCTACGGTAACCATGATAAACAGCCTATTTTTATAATAGCCATTTATCGCCAAAAACCTAGCTGCTAGCCGCTGCCGTTTGATTTGTCATAAAATAACCAATAACAATGCCAATTTCTTTATGTTTCAATCAAAAATTCCATCAAAAAATGATAGATTTCTTCGAACTGTCTCCAAGCTTGTCTAGCAGACGGAGTTTTTCTCAATGGGAAAGAGAGAAAGCTGAAACTGGTTAGAAATGAATGAGTCAACAATCTAGTACAAAGTGGAAATCCTGTCTAGTCCGGTTAGAAAACAGTATTTTTGTTTACCTCAACGTTTGGAAATTCTGCACCTTATAGGTAACATAGTCAGAATAATATGTAATTTAAAAGATAATTGTTTGTTTACTGTTTTATTTCTATCACCTCAGATTTTCGATAACCCACATTATTTTCAAGTTAACCCTGCCTACCTACTTTACTGAAGTCATAAACTTACTTCATGTATTATATGTACACAAGCTACTTGAACATATACATGTATAGATTAATGTCTCCTGTCTGGTTATAGGTTAATGTTGATGACCTTAATTTGGTTCAGGAAAAGACAAATTCATACTATTTAATCTATTTCTTTGGTCAAGATCTTGGAATGTGTCACCGTCAAGGTATCAGTTTTTCGCACAATAAAGAAATAAATGAAAGGTGTAAAAATCTATAATGCATATAAAACACAATTTATCTTTTCTATTAAGGCATTTAAGGGATCGCAATTGCTATTAATCGAATCCTATCTAATCCCTTTTATCTGGCTAGATCAATGAAACTCCCGTGTTGGAATTTTCCTTCTGCTCATGTCATTTCATGCCGTTTCTCTTTAAAATTTGATTAAACCGCATGATTTTCCTGCATTTATATATTAAGTGCCTAATTGGTTTCATGAGTATCAATTCAAATCAATCATTACTCTGCTCTTTTTGAGTTATTACTCAATGAAATTATAACAATCGGAAAAATTAAATCGATGATAATAGGTAACAGAAGAAATTTGTCTTTGTGTAAGCATAATTAAAACAAACAATTAGTCAGCAGAACCCAACATTATTATGAATATTTAAACAATAGTTAACAGTTCATACATGTTTAACGATTTTACATTTACAGTCAGGGAAGGAACTGAAAATTGCATGAATGACAATAAGAAAATCAACATGGATTTGCTTGTTTGACAACCTGACAACCAAATCTATTGCTTGTTTAATTTGTTTACTATTGCTTGATTAATGAGACATTGTGATGTCACAACAAAGTGTGTGCATATAATTATCAGTCGAATTCTATATTTCAGGGAACTATTTCAAACAGGAGATGCTTTTTATTTGATAATGTGAATGTCAGTTATGTAATAGACCTGATCAATCAAAAGGTATGTAATCATATTAAAAATGATGGAACATACCACTTTAGGTTAATTTTTAAAACAACATCCCATTTGAATTGATTATTACCGGGGGAATGGATTAATTCAGAAATAAAGAATAAATCTACCACTGAGTTTTGGTGCCATGAATAAATAAAACGTATAATGTATATATATATAATGAAATGTACAAAATACAAAGAAACATCCTTCTTAATAGTTTGGTTTCTTTTTTATAAAGTGAATTTTGTCTACAGTAATTACTACTATGAGATGTATCGTTCCACTTAATATTGTATTCCGTAATCTACCAAATGATAAATAGCACAATCGCTATCAATAGTTTGATCAAAACTCCTGAGTTTGCGTCATCAGCAATTTCCTTCCGCAACAGAGCCGACTAATTAATTGATGACATCATTGGATGTAGAATAACATAATCCATAACTAGATTAGTAATGTATAATTATAGAGATTACAAAGCTTAATCTAAAAATTGCCAACTGCTTATGCATATTTCACAATATTCCTCTCCGGAATTTGAATTAAACGTTTAAACGTCTTGCATATTTATATCAATTTGAGAATTGACAACATGTGTATTTATTTTATTTTAAGCAAATTATACTATTTCCAATTTTATTTTGCATTTTATTATGTTAACACCATATCATTTTATCAACAGGTAAACATCCGTTTTCATCAATTGCAAATAATAATACCACTAAGCCACTAATTGTTTTATAGAATATACTTTATTCTGTAACATTACTAATGTTTCTTTTTGATGTTTTAAGTTCTATAATATCAAATGCCTTTCTATTAACTCTAACGTTTTTGTAGACTCTCAAGCAGTAAAATTCAATCAAGAATGTGATTAGCCGTTTTAAAGACGTCTCACAAAGAAAGAGGTTGACACTCGGTCCATAATTAAAATCTGAAGAGGCTTTAGAAGTTGAAATTAATTCATTTTTTCCATGGGGATTATGACACATTCTTTTTCTGAAGCCCCTCACAAAGTATCACTCACATGACACATATCGTTTTTAATAAGAAACAGGAAAGAACTCAGGAAATAAATAAAAAAATACCCAAAAGTTTGCACTGCATGAAAAAACACACAAATATTAATACAAAATATTAGCACAATGATAAAGGGTTATTAAAAGCATTGTATTTTTTATACGATTACTCATACTTTTAAGTGATTTCTTTTCAATGAATGGGATATTAATGACACACATTTGCCATGTGCAACTGTCTTCACATCACTGGCGTGCATAAATTGCACTCGTTTAGTGGTTTCACCCATTTAGAACACTGAATGTTGAAAATTGATTCATTTTTTATTTGAATTATATTGAGATCATTTTAAAAATAGATCCAATATTTGCATTAATTCTAAAATCAATTCTCTCTGTTATTTCAATGTGATTATCTTAATATGAAAAACAGAGAAAGATAGATTTTCTTTAATATCTCAAAAACATTTGGAAAAGCTACAAAAAGTTAATGAATCTATTAATGATGACCAAATTGCCTCAAATAAAGTGACATCCAAATTGGAACATCTCTAATTATATATCTAAATTTGCACCTGTCAGTCTGGCTCTATCAATATACATGTACATGTACATGTAATAATTTTCAGGTAGTATATGTAATCATTGTGAATCCCTTGAATAAAACATCATGCTTTAAAATGAAAATTAGAAAGTAGCAATGAATCTAACAACATGTAAAGTAAACGAAGAAGTCAATATATATAGAAATGTCTGGAGACTGAAACTTAAGGAAATAATATATGTATACATTGGTAACAAGAGTGACACTACACTGACGGGTTCTATCTCATATGCAACAATTTGTTTCAGCCCTCACATTGCAATATTTATACTGTGCCGATGATAAAGAAAAGTCAATTAATTATGAGATGCCGAATATGTGTTAATTAGAGCCATCTTAAATTGTATGATTTTTTCAAATACATACATAATATTAAATGCAACATATCACGCTCTTATATATTTACAATATGTCCCTTATTATGCGCTGTTGCTACATAAATCAAAACAAATGCAAAGACAGTGTTACACAAAAAAATTCAGATTTCATACAACATTAAATAAAAGTATACCCTCCAGTGCTTAGAACATAGACCATAAGCTTTCTAGAAAACAACATACCAAAGAAAACAACATACCAAATGAAATATATCAAGTCAATGAATTTACATTATTTTACTTACCAGTGCCTAATTTTAACTTTATATGATTATAAATCTTCATTGGTCGCTTCATTTTGGATTGATCTCGACGTGAGCCACCTTTTCCTTGTATGTCCCTGAGTATACTCTTAGATAATATGATACTAGAAGGTGTATACATTGTTGATGTACCCCATTGTTTACTAGTAGTGTTATATTGCATATGAACAATATTTGAGCAGATGCTATGCCTCCTATTGAGCCGCTACAAATCCTGAAGTTGCTAGAAAATTCCTAATCTGACAAAATAGTCAGTATTCTTGAGTAAATTGTATAAAATCTCCAAGAATATACTGTATAAAAATAGAAAACTCTATGTACAGTGAGAGTATAATGTTCTAGTGTTCTAACCTACTAAAGACACCATGTGTAGTGTGAGTAGCCTTAGATGACTGATCTAGATCCATTATCAAACTCTATGAATCACTCCCTGATAACCAATCAGATCACACAGAATATTCAGATCTCTGGCTTCTCCAATGACTCTTATAATGTGTGGTTTCTTTGCCACATTGCCGTGTGCTTCATAATCCCGAATAAACCAATACAATACACAAATCTAGCCTATTCAAGATGAATCAATGTACCTGGCGTTAGATCCTGTGGATAAATCAATACGGTTATATGCTGGAGACTACATTTCAAGGCAATAATCATAACTGTACATATTGATGATATTATGACTCATACCAGCTAGGATAAGACTATTGCTGAATGAGCATGTGACCAACGAACAGCTGATGCCAAAAACAATTGATTTGAACTCCGAACAATGCCAGAAGTTTTGTTTAAACTAAACATCTGCTGCATAAATTAAAACTCAATTCAAGTCAAGTTTCAAATTCCCTTTGAGATTTAGCTTGGTAAAAATTGATTTGGAAAAATGTATCATTTGCACGAAGCCATTTTTAAAAGTCCAAAATTTAGACCAGTTGATTCATGACGGTGTGAGTGCAAACAAATAATACAAACATGCTCTGTATATCTTGGAGTTAACATAAAAAACAATAAGTTGATCATTTTAAATTGCAAAATGAGGAAAAACTGAATTTTGCAAGAAACAAACTTAATATCGTGATTTCAAGAATTTGCAAATTACAAGAAAAATAGGAAAATAATCATTTTAAAGAGAAATGATATTATATGACTAAAGATGGAATAAAGTAATTTTAAGCAAGGGGTTTACTATATCATTGCCCTATATACATATAAGTATATTATACCTTAGCCTGAATAATATACTTAAGATTATTCAGTCTCACAAGGGAATGGCTAAATATATTAATCATAATCATGATATAAAATTTAAATATTAATCATAATATAAAATATAATTTAAAAATAAAATGTATCACACAAAAATTATTTTTTCTTATTTTATGAATTATAATTTTACACAATTATTAAAAAATTGCCATAACAGTAAAAGATTACTATTGCATGTTCTATTGAGTTGATCCCTGACCCTAATGCATGGACATGTATATTATATAGCAAACGGACTCCAATCCAGAGACCAAAATCAATATGTATGCATAGGATGTAAATATATATGAATGTAATATGTATGCAGCTATTATAGTCATAGCATATAGCCCTTGATCATGTAAACTAAACATTCAAGACAGATAATCAGATTAAATTAATCCCATCAATGTGAAGATCTCTAGTCCTGCATTGAGTCCTGAGTATTTCCCTTGTTCTTTCCCTCAAACATGTTGAAGAAATCTGTTACAGAAGGGGCTTTATGCAAGAATCATGCAATACACATCATGGGTACCCTGCACCCAGTCTAGTTATTAAGTACGAAGCTCTCTTTTAGGAAGTGAAAAGTAAAGTCCAAGGAATGCAAAGGTTATAACATGGGCAAGAGATGATTCCCCCAATTCTGATACTTAACCATCACTGTCTTTCTTCACTAGAAATGAACTTATAAAAAGCTATGTTCCCTCACAATGGGCCCCAAAGCCTCTTTTACCCCTTGAATAAACACATCAGCAATAGGGACTATGTTAAATCAAAATGACATCCAAACTACCATCTTTGACTTCCAAGTTGTAATAAGTTGGAGCAACTTTGTGAATCAAGATGCAAACAACTACACACCTTTAAGATAGATAAGACAAACAAAACAGTAATATTTGTTTTCTTTTAGGAGACATCTTGACCATGACTTCATAAGAACAAAATGCGCTCACAAAACGAGCCCATAAACTTTAACATCACAAAAATGCCAATGACAAATATTTGCAAATCCATGCATTTCAAATCATATGTTGTAATGGGAAGGATGAGCTCTGCCAAAAATGCTTGAAATATCTTAATAATGATCATTCTCATTCCACCAAAGTTCCCTAAAATCTGAATGAACACCCTGATTTTCTGGAATATCTTTACAATTTAAAGGGCTGATTCCATGCCTGTTATCTTTATTCCTTGTTAATTTCACTGATATCTACGTTATTTTGCATTTAAAACATAACTGTGTGTCATCTTCATACCTTCAAGTACAATTGTTGTCTGATCAGTCATAGTCTGATCAATGCAGTAAGGCGACTGCAAGTCTACATGCAAATCAAGCCAAAAATGTTTCTATAGAAAGAGTATAAATTTTTTACAATAACTAGGAAATTAATCTAATTGTATTGATCTTTATCAATAAATGACACCACTCAAGTAACATTATTCCGAATTTCTATTTCAAAATAAAAAAAATCATGAATATTTTACATGCACTTACCAACTTGCATTTGGAAAGCTTTTTGCAATTCTATTCTATATGTTTTTGTTCTAAATACATTCCGAGGTGTACTTCTCTCAAAATAAATGATTTCTTTAGCTCTTAGAGTGCATTTATGTAATTAAATAGTTTAGGTATCGTGACTTTCAAAATCATTTAAATTCATGTTACTTCCTAGTTGCAGTTTCAGACCATTCAAAACCAGAGACCATGAAGGTTACTAGTATGTGATTCTTCAAGGCAAGATGCTCACTATAAACTTTTAAAATGAGGCACAGTACCTCACTTTAATTTGCTCCTTCCCCTTCTGCCTCACTCAAATTGCTATCAAAAACATTTCCTCATTCTCTGTTAAGAACATAGTAAGCAGAACTAGCAAATATGCAAAGGAATATAGTTAAATCTGATGGGCTATTTTGCAAAACTTTAATCGCCAAAATTAGAAATTGATGTTTGAAACCCTTTTTAATAATTCCTTTCTTAATTCCTTCTTAGCTATAATTAGTAGAAATATCATAAGTGCATAATTGGGAGAAAATGATCTGATTTTAACGAGGAGATGAGTCAACAGCGTTTCATTATTCCTCGTTGATATATCATCCAATTACAGCACTTCGGCTCTATAAGCATAGATTAAGATTATCAATTTCAAATGCAATTACTCTAATCCACAACGCTCAAGGAATGCAGAGTTGTTTGATGTGTTTTCATTGGCCATTTAGCTTAAACAATCAAGGATGTAATACTGTATTACCTTGGATACGATGTTATGTTTTTATTCTTTTAAATTGCGGAAAACGTGATATACAAAGTCAACAAGCATGCATTTAGTTACTGATTTTTTCTAAATCGTACTCTAGGGAATTTTTCTGGTATTAATGAATCTCCTTGGTCACTGAATTTCGTAAAATATAATGCATTTGTTGTTACACTGAAATTAGTCATCACTAAAATATATTGTCCACACCCAAGGGACAACATAAAACTTAAGTTTCCACCTCCCTACTAATACAAGCACACACATCATGTGTAGGAAAATTGGGGAGATAAGAGGCTTAGTGCTGGACTACCAATCTACCAGCTCTACTGCCAGCCATAATACAAGTGTAGACAAAAACAAATGGTTAACAAGGGTCTGGAAGTATGGTATTGTAAGTATTTCCATATATGTTCCAACAGAAGCCAAAAGGATCAATTGCATTGATCAAGGGGGATAAGAGTAATTGTCAAATCAAAATAAGGCTCCAATTCTATTATTGCTAACACAGATAACATGTGAAGTCTAATGAATACAACCTGATGATCGTTGGAAATCAGTGTCTACTGAATTAAATGCAAGACCAAAAATAGCCTTTCTAATGGTGTTTTGATTCTTAAAAGAGAGCTTCATATACTTCATGTAGTAGGCTCTGTCACTCAAGGTAACAACTTCTGGATTGTAGAGGTTGAAGTAGGATCTGAAAACTTAGAAACTCAGAACCAGAAACTTCTGAAGGATTATGAAGAACTGCCTTCTGATGATAAATAAATCTGTAGGCTGAGATAGAGATACTAGCCCCCTCAACCTTTTTTTCAGAAACCAAGTCAGACTTTTGCAAAGCTCTAAATTCTGACAGAAATTGGAATTGAAAGAAAGAATGACTAATGTTCAATTGAGCATGAAACTTTTTCATGATATGTCCAGTTCAGAGTGACTCAGATAATCAAATTGTAGGGTTGGGCAAAGTTCAATTTTGCCATGAATTTTCTTATTGTCTCAGAAAGTTCACTTAACTTGACTCAACTTGTTTATGATATTCTAATATATATATATGCATTTTCAAAAACAGACAATAAGGGTTCAGTATGGTGAATTAAATATAATTTTTCAAGGTTATTAAAAAGCAAGTTTAAAACGAACATTTTCCTTTGCAAAACTTTTTGAGTGCAGCCATTCCCTTTTGTAAACGATTCATATTATGCATATAAGGACATTGGCAGCTCAAAGTCCAAAGTTAATTGGCCTAATTATCAAATAAATGACTAAACTAGCAAAACGAATAGATGAAGTCATCATAGACAGCCAGATGAGACTTACATACATGATTTTCTGGTCATGGGCGCCTTTTGGGCAACTTTTCAACTAATTCAAAATAAAATATCTAATTTTCTTGCATTCCTATATAAATGAGATCGTAGGTAAGATGCTTATGTACTATATTCCTCACAAAATCTACTCTTCATGCCCAGCATTTTGAAACAAGGCTACAGTGTGTTCCGAGCCTAAAATGCCATTCTTTAGAAAATAGTGAATA